TCTCTCTCTCTCTCTCTCTCTCTCTCTCTCTCTTCACCAACAGTTTTTAAATATTTATTCGCAAACGTTAAACGATCTCTAATATTCTTCTTACTCAACAGTGGTACTTTTCTTGGGGTTCTAGCACACAATTTAGCATCTTGCAGTCTGCGGAATTGTTCTTGCTGATATCGGTGCATTAGTTCGCTCTTTCAGTGTAAAAGAACTCGCAAAGGGATCGGCTTTGCATTTCCGAAGTAATAGCCGGTCAAATATTTCAGTTGTTTTGCGAGGTCTCCCACGAAATTCTATAGACTGCTATTTTTAAGGTATTAGCAATCATATTTCTAGACCGTCCTATCAATTTAGATATTTTCCATTTTTATAAAGATTTTTTTATTAATCTTTTCTCCTCATCTGTACAATGTTTCGATCTACCTATTTTTCATCAACTGTAAATAAGATTTATCACAAAACAATGTTGGTAAATACTAAATTAAACATAGATTTATAATCTTTGACGATATAAAAGTGTAACAAGATTTAATGGAAAACAGCTTGTACCCCTATTATTTCTGCTAGTCCGAAATCACTTTTTTCGAAAAACGTCTGCACTTACTTAATTCTAGAGATCAACTGAGATTATTTGTATATATAAACCAAGAAGACTAGAAAGAGACTAGTTTCTAGTCTTCTTGATATAAACATATTTTTCAAATGTGTCGACATTCAACTGATAAGGTAATCTGACCTAGCATTAACACATATGTTCGCAAATTGAAAAAGAACAATAAATGAGTTAGTGTACCTATTATTTCTGCCACTACTGTATATATACATCTATTTATTATCTATGCTACAGAATAATTACAATGTGATCTATGCTTTACATTCTAAGATTTTATGCAATGTAGATTTCAATATTAGTTGAAAACAAAAAAGATATCTATTATTTCAAAATTTCATTTCACAACTTTCAAGTTATAATTGTATCTTTTGAAGCATATAATTGTATATTTTTTTAAACTTACGCTGTTTTCTGTTTTTGGTGTTTATATGTGGGTATATTTTCAAACGTTAGATATACTACGTATAATATCAATGTCTCCAATTTCCTTAATCCAACAATATTTTAAATTTTCTTCTGCTACTTTTTACTTTTTATCAACGTTATATTTTTTCTATGAAAGTATTGTATACTATAGGAATACATATTACTTGACAGCGTTTTAAGTATCATTTTAATCAAGGTTTCTGCACCAAAAGCAAAGTGCAGCGTATCTGCAGTACAGGGGATTGGTTTCAAAATTACGGGCGGAGAAACCAGATAAAGATAAGAAGAATACTGGTGCAGAACTTTATTGTCCAGAAGAAGCTCTTAGTGACAATGATGAGGATAAATCTCAGAAATCTCATTTAATTCCACATGGTGAATATAATTACATGTATAATAAGTATTCAATGCCATTCAAAACGAATTTTATTAATTCATGTTTTATATATTCCATTGTTAGCAGATCAGTCAAAGGACGATAATAAAGAAGAACGGAAAAGAAGAAAACGTAGTCGCTGGGGTGATCCAGACAATAAGGTTCTTGTTACAGAAACAAATATATCTTCTGGTAATAGATCAGGTGCTGTACTTCCGCAACCTGGTATAGCTATACCAGGACAAATTGGACAACCTGCAGTCATAATACCTTCTCCGTCAAAGAGACAACAAGTTAAATCAAAAAATCCGATGCTTACCAAAATTTCACGTAATGATCCTGCACTTATCCACTATGCGAGACAAACGTTTGGAACGCTCGATTTAAGCGAAGAACAATGGAAAAAGGCAGAGGATCATTATAAGGTAGATTATTATTGCATCAATTATAAAAGATAAACACACAAACTATATTAAAATTTATTCTCTTTATCTGATCATATAGTATGTATATAAAAATACAAAAGTAAATTTTAAAGATCAATTATAATTTTGTACTAGAAATGAAAATAACTAAATCTTACGATAATTTACTCGGTAATTTACTGTAAATTTGTCAGTAATTTTATGGAGGCTAGTAAAATGGTAATTTAAAAAAATTATAAAAATAAAATAATTTGATATAAGAGTATTTAGTCGTTAAGTTAAAACTTTGAAAACATTTTATTTAATTTAAATTTTTATTTTAATACTACATTTTATATAATAATAATTAAGAAACTATATATTTAAGTACGTAGTAAGTAGAGAAACTTCAAATAAATTTTTTATTAAAATTTTGAAAGCGAAAAGTGTGATAGGTACAGTAGTCGTAAACTATATTTTTCATACCTTATAAACTTATAACAATTTTATTTGCTTGCTGTTTTAGCGACTGTCAAGGACAGTTTTTACTAGAGAAAAAATAAAATATAATTATACATGTTAAATGGGGGGGAGAGGGGGGGGAGAGAGAGAGAGAGTTTTCAAATTTTAAATAATTAAATGATAGAAATATAAGAAAAAACATATATCTGTGACTTTTCAAATTACGTGATTTACATGTTTTAATTACATGATTTCGTTATGTAACTTTGTGACGTAATTTTTTTCAGTAAGATACGTTTAGATTTAGACAATATTCTATTAGCGATTCCTATTTGGAATATTGAATGATTGTATAATTTTTAATTTAATTATACATAAATACGAAAATACAGATTATTTATGCATAAAACTATAAGAAACAACAATTTTTGCCAAAATTATCAATAAATTATCATTTTACCGTAATTGTAAAATTGAATTTGACAGTAATCTTGTATCTCTATTTTGTATATATAAAGATAAATAAATAATTTTTTTAGATAAATCTTTTATACCAAAATCTCTTGAAGAAAAGAGAAGAAGTGAAACGTTTGGAAGCACAAGGGAAACATAAATACGAGTACGACAGCGACGAAGAAACAGAAGGAGGAACTTGGGAACACAAACTGAGGTCCGCTGAAATGGAAGCGACACAGATGTGGGCCGAGGAATTAACTGCGCAAGCGGAAGGCAAACATCATATTGGCGATTTTCTACCTCCGGATGAATTAAAAAAATTTCTGGAACAATATAATGCTGTGAAGCAAGGCAAAGAACCCGACTTGAGTGACTATAAAGAATACAAGTTAAAGGAGGATAACATAGGTAAATTTCAAAAAATGTTTTCTATAGTTTTTTATTTCTTTCTAACATTATATTTGTACAGTAAATAGAGCGGTTACATTTAACTACATCTTATAATAAAAATTTTACTATTTATTATTTATTAAATTGACAAACATATTTCAAATCAAATGCGAATAAAAATTTCTTGATTCTGTCAAAAATTATTTCAATTGAACAAGTTTTCTTATTTTATAGGATTTCAAATGTTACAAAAGCTTGGATGGAGTGAAGGACAAGGGTTGGGCAGTGAGGGTAGTGGTCGTATTGAACCAATTAACAAGTAATACTTTTTACATTATTTTCTTCATGTCGAATATACATTTGTTTGATATAAAAAAATGTTAAACTCATATAATCAAATTCTTATAATCAATGTTTCTAGAGCAACAAATAGACTCGATAGTGCTGGTCTAGGATCTGAAAGACCAGATGGAGTATCTAGAGATGATGATGAATTTGATGCATACAGAAAACGGATGATGCTTGCGTATAGATTTAGGCCTAATCCATTAGTAAGTATCCCGATTTTTACAATAAAAAATTAAAATGTTAAGTAAAAATATTCAACAGCTTATTTTAATTATTACATTTTCTTTTTCAGAATAATCCAAGAAGACCTTATTACTAAAAGCTAAAATACATTATTACTAAACTAGTATTCCTTTTATTACTGAACAGTAGTAGATGCCTTTATTTTGTATATTTGAAATTGTATATTTCATTTTAAAATATATCTCTTCTATACAAATCCCCGTTCTTTTTTCTGAGTAAAATTATTTATAAAGATTAGTATATAAAAATTAGTACGAAAATTTAAATACATTTAAAGGATGAAAAGATATATAGATAATCATAAAATTATGAGCAAAAATTTTATTTTGTACACTATTGGTACTATTTGTACACACTTTGTACTATCTGTAAACTCTTAATTTGTATTATTTTACATTATTTTTTGTACTATCACATAAAAGAACATCGCTAAGCCACATTATCTTTTGGCAAATATTTTATGACTGAAATAACAATGAAATTTTTACAGAGAAAATTATGTAATATTATTTTTTTATAAAATAATATTAAATACCCTCTTATATGACAATTTTTAATAAATTTTAATTTATTAAAAGTCTCATTGCACAATACCTATATTCTATATCTATATTATAGGTAGTACAACAAAAATGTTAAAAAAAAAGATTATATACAATTTTTATATTTATGTAATGGAAATAAGTCATTGTGTTAGTAAAATTCCTCTAACCTGATAAAATAAAATAGGCATGTACTCATAATAGTACATTTTTGCAATAATTTATAATAGTTTCATATATAATATTTTATTTTTAACTTCAAAATTTTTTTTTGATATTTATGATATTAATATGAAAATATTAATTTATATGTAATTTCTGTCGATGAGATCTTTGAAAGTATCTCTTAACATACTTTTATAAAAGCTATCATTTTCAATTCTTTCTTGGAGTATACCACTGTCGTACGTATCTTTTATTTCTATCTCATTATTATTGGTAAATATGTGTATAGTGTAAGTTGCCATTCCCGCTGCGTATTTTCCGAATTTAGTTAAATGTTGAATTAATACTTCGTAAGGAAAAAGAATATTAGGATCATAACCGGCTCTTTCGATACACCTGGATAGTGCTTCATAATATTCGTCTATCACCTGATCGAAATATTTACTTCGTGTTTCTTGCGTGCAGCAGCAAAAAAGCATATAAACTATATCTAAGACAGGAGATGCGTAACGACATATTTGAAGATCTATAAAACGCAAGTCGCACGGATTGTTCTCCTAAAATGAATTAAGTGTAATGTATATTTTTGTTAGCTCTATTATATTTTTATTATGTTTTATTATACGTTTATTAACACAAATCTTAAGCCACTACGACGCATATATCAAGGAAGTACTAATTGTGTGTACATACTTGGTCGTATTTGAAGAGCATATTGTTGGTCCAAGAGTCACCATGATTTACAACGGCGTACGGCTCAGCGGCTTTTCCATCAACTGCATCAATCATATTTGACATCATATTTTCTAAGAATCGTTGGTATCTTTCGATATAATGTTTATCTTCATTCGCTAAAGCCTAGTACATGGTATCAGAAAGAAAAAATAAATTAGATTTGATGAATAATAGACGTTTAAAGATCAACATGCAAAGTACCTGGAAAATGACATCAATGAGCACTTTTAACATATTCTTCTGCTTATCCTCGCTATTATCGTATAATTTTTGAGTAAACAAGTGTTCCTTCATCTTTAGTTTTTCGAAGCTTATCGGGTCCGCGACACGCGTAATGAAGCTGTACGCGTGAAATTCACCTAAGCATCGTAACGCCAAGCTGAGATGAGGGTAATCCAAAATTTTTGACGTAGCCATCACAAAACCTTGAGGCGTTAGATCTTCTAACATTAGTATCTACGATAAATTATACATTTTATATGCATTATCCAAGTGTTTGTTTCTTCATCGCCTTAGATTACTCTTTAGAAAAGATACAAATCTAATCTCAGTAGTCGCGCTGCATGAGGAATACGCGAAAGTTATTATCATGTTATGAGATAGCTCAGGATGATAATCGCATAATGTTATCGAGGTATGTAATTTAATGATATTAGATCATACTTGTTTATTGATTAATATAAGAGTGCCTTGATCTTTTTATGTATGCACGCGCTTGCACATGATACATGAAATAAATTCCTCACCAAAGAGCAACTACAAATTGTAATGCAAATGATAATGAATTACAAAATAGATTTTAATTAAATTTCGCAAAGTGTAAAGAAAAAACGGTCTATATTTATAAGCGTTAATGAGGTTTTTTAAATAAATTTCTAGTTTATACAACATTAAGAAACGACATAAATATAAAAAATATAAAATATATAAAAATAATATCGAACGTTTCGGAACTCCTTCTTCAGCGATTCTTACAGATGTTTCTATGTCAATGAAATAATCGCATAATCTTACGGTCGAAGCGACATGGTATGACAATTTGTTTGAACAGAATTGATTCTCCTGTTTTTGTGTGAACGTGGAAATTGTGTTTAAAGTAAGAAATTCATTGTCATCGTTGTAATATAAAAATATAAGTAATTTAAATGTAAATTGTCAATTACTGTCTATTATTGTCAATTTTTGTATTAACGTTAATTAATTATATTTATTTGGTGATTAAAATAGAATTTCTTCCTTACAAAATGTACGAAAACAGGAGCATCATTACTTATTCGTCTGATTTTGTTTACAAGTGTTACAATGATAACAGACGAACTCTTAAGGCATCGGAAACGATATTTATTTATTTGGCTCTGACCATTATAGACTGTCTTCTTTGTTTATTTATTTATTTGTTTGACACTTTTTTCAATAAATAACTGTAAGAGTCGTCTAGACTATCCGTATCTTTTTGAGAATGCTTTTGTTTTATTTTTTAATGTGTAATATCTCTGAGATAATTCTTTTATGATAACTCGTTTCAATATCTAGACTTAAGGCTCCTTCCCAGTCAAAATTGTGATTGTAATTTAATATATGATCAGAGATGACGGAGAGTTTAGAGGAACTCTGCTTAATATTATTTCTATGTTCATTTATAGTTCTTGAGTTTTTTTTGTTTGTTCCACATAAGACAGACAAATAAAATACATTTTATTTTTATGAGCTTTGGTAAAAAGAAGTTGATAGAGAACGATTAAGAACGATAGCATTTCTATCAATTTGTGTGTGTTTTATGTAAGTTTATATCATTCTCTATCGTCGATTTTGCGAGCATCACGATTGATCGGCGTCTGAATTCTATCATATTTTATTAAGTTCTATAACATTTATACAAGATTCCTATAAGATTTGATCTAAATTAGTGAATTTACGAACCAGATTCCGTATTCAAAATTATAGGATTTTTCTATCGTTCTCTATTAACTTTTTTTTTATCAGGGAGAGACTTTATCGTTAAGTATATATGATATAAATCAAGATTATTATAGATGAAATACCAAAGTTACAATATTGTGCAAGACGAGATAAGATAAGAATACCTATTACAAGGTAATTATACATTAATTTATTTTTTTCTATCTTGAGCAGAAGTTCCATCAAAATGTCAGGGATATTACGTGTGGAAGTTACGTAGTAAAGAATCAAGTCTTTAAACGAAGTACATGTATAGATAACGTGTACTTTCGCGAGCCATCTAATTATCAAACACTTTTACCGCGTGCCTAATACTGATCATGTCGGCTTTTACTGCTAAAAATAAATAGCGAAAAGGCTCCAAAAATTCCGGAAGATATAACATTATTTATACCGTTGCGAGTATAGTTGGTCGGTTTCTTATATAAATATAGCGGTAGCTTTCGAACGAATAACCGGAGGGTTGCGATTTAAAGGAAAGCTTCCCAAGAATGTCGGCTCTTCGATCCCCCCCCCCCCTCCCCTCCCAATAAAAATTTCAGAATTAATTAAATTCCAAAATTAATGATTTTGCCAATGAAATGGAGTCGCACCGAAATATGAGAGATTCTTTCTCATTAACACTTGAGTGCAGTTTGGTCATTAGCGAAAATATTGCGTAATGCAATAGTTAACTGGACTTTATGTCTTACATGATGATCTAAAATTAGTTTATTATGCCCGAGCGCGCGCGTCCGTTCTTACAAATCGACGTTTCCCTTCGCGACATGATGCCTGCGTTTTATTACACGTATAAATCTCGCGGAGCCAGCGCATCGTCAAATGCATTGTCTTCGAGATAATGACGTGCAAAAGATATAGGAGTCATGCGAGCTGATCGGAATAAAAGATAACATTACGAGTGAACAATGAAGTAGCGTTTAAAATTGTACATTCGCGCAACACAATATCGTTTTTATAAAATTATGCGAAATATATTTAACTTTTTTAAAGATTCAATCGTCGTTATATATATAAATAAATAAAAATATATATATGTATATATCAGGGAATGGAAAGTTACTTTTTAAAAGTAACTAGTTACAGTTACTCGTTACCGAGTAAAAAATGTAACTAGTTACAGTTACAGTTATCGCTTTTTAAAAGTAACTCGTTACAGTTACCGTTACTTGAAAAATAACTTTTCGTTACTTTTCCGTTACTTTTTTAAAATCAATTTAAAAATGTACTTTTGCATTTTTTTTTTATGTGTAATACTGACAAATATATAGTTTTATTTAAAAAAAAAAAAAAAAAATGTAGAATGGCTCAAATAATAAATTAAATAAAAGTAAAATGAGAAGGGTTACGAGCCAAAAATGAAACAGTTTATTTCCGATAAGAACGACGATGACAATGTAATTAAATGTATAAATATATATTAGAACAACACCATGGATAAAACAAGATAAAAACAAACGACGTTTCGACACTTATTGTCATCGTCTTTTAAACTGTTTCGCTTTTGGGTTCGTAGCCCTTCTCATTTTACTATTATTTAATTTATTTTTTAATTTTTTTTAAACACAATTTTGTAATTCTAAAACCTGTAAAATATGCAGCAAACTGAAATATTTGTATGTCCTATGTATTACATAAAAGATAGAAGTGTAAAATAATTACTGAATCATAACGGCCGAATGTCTAAGGGCTTTCAAGTTTTATTGATAAACGCTGTAAATAGCATGTATCCAATCGAACCGTGTTCAATCGTGTGCAAAGTAACGACAAAAGTAACTGTAAATTTCGTTACCGTTACCCAAAAAATGTAACTCGTTACCGTTACAGTTACCAAAAAAAGAAAGTAACGCAGTTACCAGTAAAGTTACCAAAAAAGTAACTTGTAACTGTAACTTCGTTACAAGTAACGAGTTACTTCCATTCCCTGGACTATATATATTTCTTACAGCCTCGCTGCATTATGTGTATGTAGCAATTTCGCGCAAAAAAAGAGATTACACAAAAGCGCCGTATGGAATTTACATAAATGATTACACGATATTCAGCTTTGTATGATATGTATTATTACTTCATTGGCATAGATCACGTTCTGAAGTGGCAAATCGCAAATTACCTCTTTATTGGATTCCTCGCTAACGTCGTATAAAATAGGAAAGCGGTCGATAATCCCGCCGCGGTCCTTCAAAGTCTCTTTGAAAATAGGCAACACTTCTTTGTAGAAGAACAGCTCGCGTTGGAACATATCTGTGACTCGGCTGCTAGTCAGCATCTCGTCGGTGTCCAAAGTTCGCGTAGTTTTCAGAATAAGCTGAATTTTCTCGTCCTCGCCATCTTCAGCAATGCCCTCGATCGTGGCGCGGCAGACGAGGCTCACGTAATTGTCACCTTTATTGGTACCCTCAGTTATATGAAATTTTGGAGCCGATAGCTTGATGGATTTTGTGTATGTACGCAAGTAATCGTACAATCGCTCGTCCGACACGATTTTCTCACTTGCCATTTTTTTGCTCCTTCCTCTGTCTGTCGATGTCTTTATCTCGTGGAATCTGCAGCGGACGTTGCTTACGTGTGTTCCTTACGCGATGATAGTTAGTAATACTCTAATCCTTTATTTTAAATAGTCGAGATACCGGAATCGAATCTTGTACACACAATTGCTCGCCTCGATGATAAGAGAGCGATTACTGGAACGATCGTTGAAAAGTATCGCTTATATTATCTTCGTTATCGCATTTTTAATTTATAAATCGTTACTAAGCAAGTATGAAGATTATAAAATGTATTTATATATATATATATATATGTATAGATTTAATGTATATTTCTGTAGAGTGTTATCGATTTGTGATGTTTGCGATTTATCGAAGCAATCGATTCGATTTGAAACGTTTGCGCATGACAATTCTCTCAATCCAGACAGCACAGAACATCCATTGGACATCCAGATTTGATTTCAATCTGATCCAAACGTCCATGCACTTATTAGTACGAATGTTTTAAAAATGTGCGTTATTCAACGTACGAAGTATGTTTACATTTGTACATTAAAAAAGTGTTCATCTCAGTAAAAAATGTATAGACAGCGAGGGAGATTACTTTGAAGATCGAGTTTATATTCATGTTTTTATAAATAAATGTCAAAGTTGGTTAAAAAGGGCCGAGAATTAATTTGTACACCTAATTAATAATCTGGATATTTTTAATATGTCCAAAATGTCCAATGTGTACGTTTTAAATACATTATTTAAACATTACTATGCTATCTGGAAAGTATCGAAAAATTAACCACGATCTGAGTACGCGGACTCAATAAAAGACATATTCTCCTTAGGCCAAAATGAAAAGTCGCGATCCAAAGTTGTTGTATATTCTGTGAATATGAATTTCATTAAACCATTACAGATTTAAACAATTGTTTAAATGAATAAATAAAAACGAATAATTGTTACAATAAAAAATAAAAAAGAAAATAATTGTTACAATTAATTGTTTTGATGGTGATAATTATCACCATCGCGCAATCTTTAATAAAATAAAAATTAAAAACAGTATTTATGGTGATTTTTACCTAATTTATCGCTGAAAGGAGTTCCATGCACATGCAGCTCTGTGTCATATAATTTCACAATCTTAATCTTCCTCCTTTCTCTTCTTTTTATATTAATTTCAAGTAAACGATTAATCTATGACGAAATTATAGATTATGCATTCTTGACGTGTATCTATACATTAAAAATTTTGTTCACTTTTAACTTTACTAGAATGAAAGATGTCAAGAGGATTATGCTTTGCGTCGCGCTTACATCTGTTAGTTATTTTTACATTAAACGCGCAACAGAGAAAGGAATTAAGAAAAGAGAGGAGTGTGAGGTGTAGCGAGATACTGACCACCATTTCTCCAATTAAAGTGCCTTTACCCGTTTCCAGTTGAGAAACGGTATTTCCTCTACGATAATCTACTTTAATCTATCATATACAGTTTTTTAAAAAATAAACATATATATATAGTGGCGTGAAAACGTTTCCGGCCAGTGACATTTTGTACTCTAATTTATAAATAGAAGTCTGATAAAAACCCACTATATTATCGGGTGATAGTACAAGATGTGTGAGTAACGACATTTTATACTGATACCTGATAATAATTAAAACTTTATTAGGCCTTTCTTTTTTATAAATTGGACAATTAAAGCAAGGCGGCTTATCACGCGTGCCACCGGAGACACAGAGCTTCTCCCACGCACTCATTGTTTCCCACACCGCTTCGCCGGCGCTCTCCAAAGATCGCGTTCAGCAGTTGTCGGCGGCCTTAGTATTTGTCGAGCTACGTTAAGTTGTAATTTTCATTCGTTCCATTCAGCAGGCTCAACTGTTGCGGAGCGGATCCGTGAGTGCTCGTTGCTATTGGTGTATTCTTTTAGATCATCCAATGGCAACAAAACCGCTCACGGATCTGCTCCGCAACCAGTTGAGTCTGCTGAAAGCGACCATTGTGATTATAATTGGAATGTAAGAATTATATTCAAGCTGATGGAGCATTATTTAAAAGCTTTTTCTAAATTCTCTCTTAATTGACCTTTTTTAGTTAAGTGTTTATTTTTTCTCTGTTAAGATTACTTAATTTCTATTTTGAAACAAATTTGTAACATATTATTTATGCATTGTTAGTTATAATAATATTAATAGTTTGATATCGTTTTGAAGAGCGCCGAACGCGTCGGTGGGATACAGCATTGCAGCGCCGGGTGAAGGAAACAATGAGAGCGTGAGTGAGGGAAGCCTATATGTCTTCGGTGGCACTGGCACACATTGAGCCGCTCTGAATTAAACCAACATACTATGCGAGGCAATAACGATAACGATAGACATAACGATATAAGAACAGAGGAATCCAATATACAGGAATGCAGAAGTCAATGCACATAGGAATATGGAAAATAAGGCAATAACGATACTGTATCGCAAACACTCTAAAAAAAAAAAAAAAGAGTATCTTTGTGAACATGGTGAGCCTCCTCACTCCCGGTAAAATAATTGTAGTTATGATAAACTTAATTTCGAAATTACTATTCTTCTAGGAAATTCTGGGAAATTATTTTCCCAGAATTTCAGCATTCTATTTATTTCTTTCCTCTCTTCTTTTATTATTCATATTATTGTGTTCTTTTTTAGATAAAATTGTCATCAGATTTTATTTCTCGGTTATGCAGGAGCTCATTATGATTAAACATCTTTTCAGGGCTGGGCATGTATTTAAAATACTTTTATTTGAAAGCGATAATTGTAAGACAATTGTATCTTGTAATTTGTATTTCAACGGCGTACATGAAAATATTTTGCATTTTATATTTTATGGAAGTATATAAAAGTATTTTATATTTTGTATTTCATAGTATTAATAATGAAAGATTGAAGATAATATTTTGTATTTTATTGTATTTTTTTTTTAAATACTAAGATATTGAAGATTGTTATTATTTAAATTACGAAGTACATAAAGCTTTCAATCTTTCAATTTTAAATACAAAATACGTAATACTTTCATGTACATCGCTGAAATATAAAATATAAAATCTACTTTTATTGCGAGAAAACTGTGTTTTAAATAAAAGTATTTTAAATACATGCCTAGCCCTGCATCCTTTGATCCTTTATTATTTTTAAATTATAATTTATTTATGTAATTTTCATTGTCTCTGAAGAAGGCTAAAAAATGACCCGAAACATGTAAGCGCAATTTTATTGTTGTAGTGAGTGGATTTGCTTGATGTATGTCGGCGTTGCGTGAGGTTATCTGCGCTTGACTCCTATAATGCCCTTTTCTTTCCGCAAGTTTGTTTTTGAAAGAAATAAGGAGATATTATTATAACATTAAGTTGATTACGAGTAAGTACGATATAATATTAATATTTTTTAATATGTGTGTATAATTTGTAACTAAAGTTTAAAAAGAAAATTTACAAATAGCAGTAAAATCCATTAAAAAAATCTTTTTAAAAGAAGAAAAATTATACGCCGAGTGCATAAAAAAAGATATTGAATTCTTCTTAATCAAAAACGGACATGAAATAAATGTAATTAACCAAGCATTTCATTACGCAAAACACATATATATAAGATATATCGAAAGTGGCTAAATTGTCAATTGAATTATAGTGAAGAAAAAACTTGGCATGCCTGGGTCGCATTAAAACTAAAGATGTGCATGAGACGAGATTTTCGCAATCTCGATCTCGATCTCGGATTTTCGAAAATCTCAATATCTGATCTCGATCTCGATCTCGAATTTCGTCGAGATCTCGTCGAGATTGGGGTGGAAAATAAGTTTTTTAGATACTCTGATCATTGTTAAAGAAGGTGGTTTGATTTTTTATGGCTATCGCGCAAAGCCACTTTTTCTTTTCGCAGATTCCTTAATTTTCATTCACACCATCCTATGTGTCATAAAAGAGATGTAATTTATGGTGTTGTCGATGAGATATTCCGTTTGTGTGTCATCCAACTTTCCAACAAAATAATTTAATAAATGCCATCAATATTTTTTTTATAGAATGGATATCCTCTACATTTTATTATATTTTTTCTACAATTCATAACAGAATTAAATTCCACAATAATATTAATTCTAATAATAATAATACTTTAAAATTGAATTATAACTTTAAATGAGATAATGTTGAAATCTTAGATATAGAACATTCTTACAAAAAAAGATTAATATCTGAAATGGTTCATATTACAAAATAGACACACGGTATAAACAGACAAAACGATACAGAGGCATTGCCGAAATGTACACCAATATGATACATTCCCTTTCCACGTCTTAAGTTGTTTATCCTTTCTGTTTTCCTCTTTTTCCTCTCTTGATATTGTCGACCATTGACATTATCTTATTTGTCATCATAAAGATCAGTGCTCATTTTGGTTCGCTGCAAATTATATTACTTACTTTTCAATTATAATATACTGTTTTACTGTTGTGACTTGGAATTTTTATTTATGGACATGTTACTTCTTTTCCTTTTATTTTTGACAAGGTAAAAAAACTTTTATATTCACACGTTTATGTTTTAGAATATTGTTGATTCCTTATTTTTATATGTATTTTTCTATTAGGATTAATTATGCTTACGATTCAATATTGACTGAATCTTACATTGAATTGAGAATATTTATGAATACTTAATGAAGAGAATACTTAATGAAGAATGTGTATGCAATATATTGTTATTTTAATTTATAATACTTTATATTTTATGTAACATTGAAAATGAACCAATCGGAGTCGAAACGTTTGTTTTCTATGTGTTTGTATGATTGTTTAAATTAAATTGTTCGTTAATTTATTGGTTCTTTGCCCTCTTTACATTTATACTGTTTTATACATATTGAGCCTTATTATTACTTTTATTAAATAAAAATAATTTCTTGATTTTTGTTAAAAATTATTTCAATTGAATTTGAATAAGTTTTTTATTTTATGAGATTTTAAATGTTACGAAAGTTTGGATGGAGTGAAGGACAAAGATTGGGCAGTGAGGGCAGTGTGTGTGTGGTCGAATTAACAACAAATACCTTTTACATTATTTTCTTCGTGTCAAAAATACGTTTGTCTAATATTTTCAAATTCTTATAATCAATGTTTCTAGAGCAACAAATAGACTCGATGATGCTAATCTAGTATTTAAAAGACCAGATGGAGTATCTAGAAATGATAATGAATTTGATGCGTATAGAAAATGGATGATGTTTGCCTACAGATTTAGGTCTAATCTATTAGTAGGTATCGCGATTTTTAAAATAAAAGTTAAAATGTTGAGTAAAAATATCCAACAGTTTATTTTAATTATTACATTTGTTTTTTTCAGAATAATCGAAGACCTTATTATTAAAAGCTAAAATACATTATTACTAGTATTCCTTTTATTACTGAAAAATGTAGTAGATAGATAACTTTATTTTGTGTATTTGAAATTGTATATTTCATTTTAAATGTATCCCTTATATACAATTTCCGTATTTTTTTGAGTAAAATTATTTATATAGATTAGTATATAAAAATTAGTACGAAAGTTTAAATACATTTTAACGATGAAAAGAAATATACAGATAATCATAAAGTTACGAGCAAAAATTTTATTTTGTACACTATATATTGGTACTATTTGTACACACTTTATACTATTTGCACATTTTCAATTTGTACTATGTATTTTACATTATTCTTTACACTTTCACGTAAAAGAACATCGCTAACACATATCTATTATTTATTAGCAAATTTTTTGTGACTAAAATAACAATGAAATTTTTGCAGAACAAACCATTTAATATTATTTTTTTTATAAAATAATATTAAATACTCTCTTATATAAGGATTTTTAATAAATTTAATTTATTAAATGCGTTACTGCATAATACCTAAGTTCTATATTTATAGTACATCAAAAATGTCAAAAAAAGATTATACACAATTTTTAAATTTACGTAATGTGAATAATAAGTCATTGTGATAGTAATATTTCTCTAACCTAAATATAGATAAAATAAAATAGGCATGCATTCATAGTAGTACATCTGCACTAATTTATAATAGTTTCATATATAATATTTTATTTTTAACTACAAGATCTTTTTTGGATATTTATGATATTAAAATATATATTATGAAAATATTAATTTATATATAATTTCTGTCGACGAGATCTTTAAAAGTATCTCTTAACATACTTTTATAAAAGCTGTCATTTTCAATTCTTTCTTGGAGAATCTCACTGTCGTTCACATCTTCTATTTTTACATCATTATTACTGGTAAATATATGTATAGTGTAAGTTGCCATTCCCGCTGCGTATTTTCCGAATTTAGTTAAATGTTGAATTAATACTTCGTAAGGAAAAAGAATATTAGGATCATAACCGGCTCTTTCGATACACCTGGATAGTGCTTCATAATATTCGTCTATCACCTGATCGAAATATTTACTTCGTGTTTCTTGCGTGCAGCAGCAGAAAAGCATATAAAGTATATCTAAGACAGGAGATGCGTAACGACATATCTGAAAATCTATAAAACGCAAGTCGCACGGATTGTTCTCCTAAAATGAATTAAATGTAATGTATATTTTTGTTAGCTCTATTAAATTTTTATTATGTTTTATTATACGTTTATTAACACAAGTCTTAAATCCACTACGACGCATATCAAGGAAGTACTAATTGTGTGTACGTACTTTGTCATATTTGAAGAGTATGTTGTTGGTCCAAGAATCACCATGATTTACAACGGCATACGGCTCAGCGGCTTTTCCATCAACTGCATCAAACATATTTGGCATCATGTTTTCTATGAATCGCTGACATCTTTCGATATAATGTTTATCTTCATTCGCTAAAGCCTAGTACGTGGTATCAGAAAGAAAAAAAAAATTAGATTTGCTGAATAATCGATGTCCTTAAAGATCAAAATGCAAAGTACCTGGAAAATGATATCAATGAGCACTTTTGACATATCCTTCTGCTCATCCTCGATATTATCGTATGATTTTTGAGTAAACAAGTGTTCCTTCATCTTTAGTTCTTCGAAACTCGTCGGGTTCGCGACACGCGTAATGAAGCTGTACGCGTGAAATTCACCTAAGCATCGTAACGCCAAGCTGAGATGAGGGTAATCAAAAATTTTTAATTTAGCCGTCAGGAAACCTTGAGGCGTTAGATCTTCTATCATCAGTATCTACGATAAATTATACATTTTATATGCATTATCCAACCATTCGTCTCTTTATCGCTTTAGAGTACTCTTTAGAAAAGATACAAATCTAATGTCGGTTGTGGCGATACATGGGAAATACGTGAAAGTTTATCATGAGATAGATAGAAAATGATAATCGCATAATGGTATTGAGGCACGCCATCTTATGAGTGGGTCGTGCTTGTTTATTGATGAATGTAAGAGTGCCTTAATCTTTATGTATGCACGAGCTTGCACACGATACGAATAAATTTCTCACCAAAAGCAGCTGCAAATTGCAATGCAAATGGGCGCGTTCAGCGGACTCAACAGTTCAGTGAGCGCTCGATCGTTATTATTAGTGCATTCTTCTAGATTAAAAATTCTGATTGGATGATCTAAAAGAATACACCAATAATAGCGAGCGCTCGCTCAACTGTTGAGTCCGCTGGACGCAACCATTGATAGTAAATTACAGAATAGATTTTGTTTGTATGTGGCCTTATCGTTAAGTATGATTATTATAGATGAAGTACCAAAGTTACAATATTGTGCAAGATGAGATAAGATAAGAATACTATTAGAAGGTAATTATATTTTAATTTATTTTTTTCTGTCTCGCACAGAAGTTTTCCATCAAAATGTCAGGGATATTACGTATGGAAGTTACGTAGTAAAGAATCAAGTCTTTAAAGACGTACATGCACGTGTACTTTCGCGAGCCATCTAATTATCAAACACTTTACTCCATATTTCTACCACGTGCCTAAATCGATTTTATCGGCTTTCAGTGCTGAATATAAATAGTGAAAGGACTCGAAAAATTGCGGAAGATACAGGCATTATTTATACCCGTTGCGATTAGTTGGTCGGTTTCTTATATAAATAGCGGTAGCTTTCGAACGAATTTTCAGAATTAATTAAGTTTCAAAATTAATGATTTTGCCAATGAAATGGAGTCGCACCGAAATATGAGAGATTCTTTCTCATTAACACTTGAGTGCAGTTTGGTCATTAGCGAAAATATTGCGTAATGCAAAGGTTAACCGGACCTTATGTCTTACTTGATAATCTTAAACCAGTTTATTATGCCCGGGCGCGCGCATACGCGTGTGTCCGTGTATCCGTGTGCCATTATAAATCGACATTTCACTTCGCGACATGATGCCTGCGTTTTATTACACGTATAAATCTCGCGGAGCCAATTCAGTAATGCATCGTGAAATACATTGTCTTTGAGGACGACGTGCAAAAGAATAGGAGTAAAGCGCGCAACTTTTGCTGATTGAATTGAAAGATAATATTATACAAGTATATAAATAATGAAATAGCAATAATTTCATGAAATAAGCATAATCCCACGCACAGGTTCTTATTCGTGATAAATTATTGTAACGTACATTGCGGACTTTATTGTTGAAATGTTCAAACTTACACTGACGAGTGACGCTCCACTTAGAAATTGACTATTTTGCACGAAATCTAGTCTGGTAACTATGGTTCGTCCAAAAAATTATATAATTCTAACGAAAGTTTATCATGATGACACAAGCTAACGTACTTTGGTTGCAAACGATAATTGTGAAAAATGAAACAAGAAGAATAATGATCGCATTGTTATTAATGTAAGCGAATAATTGACTAATTTAAATTCTCTTCGTTCATTTTATATAAGTTCAAAATTATACTGAAGATGGTCACATTATTGACCGAAACGTTTATATGAATTTTATGTCATTATTAATATGAATAAATTATACGTTATAATAATTTATCACGAACAAGAACCTGTGTGTGGGATTATTCTTATTTTATGAAATTATTGTTTTTTTAATAGAACCAGATTCTGAAAGGGTTTTATATATTATAATGAGATAGCGTTTGAAATTTTACATTTTCGCGCAACACAATATCGTTTTTTCAAATTATGCATTTGACTTCCTTAAAGAGATTTGATCGTCGAACGTTTTATCTTTCTTACGGCCTCTGCATTATGTATGTACAGTTTATTTCGCGCAAGAAAAGAGATTATGTAAAGGCGCCGTATGGAATTTACATACATGATTGCATGACACTCGGCTTTGTATGTGTATTATTACTTCATTGGCATGGATCACGTTTAGATGTGGTGAACCGCAAATTACCTCTTTTCCGAATTCTTCGCTAACGTCGTACAAAATAGGGAAGCGGTCATCGATAATCTCGCCGCGGCTCTTCAAAGTCTCTTTGAAAATAGGCAACACTTCTTTGTAGAAGAACATCTCGCGTTGGAACATATATGTGATCATAATGTTAGTTATCATCGGGTCGATTACCGAAGCTCGCGCAGTTTTCAGAATATGCTGAATTTTCTTGTCCTCGCCATCTTCCGTAATACCCTCGATCGTGACGCGCCAGACGAGGCTAACGTAATTGTCACTTTTATCCGTGCCCTCAGTTATATGAAATTTTGGGGCCGACAACTTGATGGATTTTGCATATGTACGCAAATAATCGTACAATCGCTCGTCTAACGTAATTTTCTCATCTGCCATTTCTTCCCTTTCCTGTTTGTCGATGTCTTTATCTCGTAGAATCGGACGGATGTTGCTTACGTTTGTCCCTTACGACAGCTAGTAATATTTTGATGCTTTTTGTTTCAAATAGTCGAGACAACGAAATCTTCCACGCAATTGCTTGCCACACATCGACGAGTAAAGAGCGATTACTAGAACGATCGTTGAAAAACGTCGCTTATATTGTTTTTGCATTATAACGTTATCACATTTTTACTATGTTAATCATTACTAAGCAAGTTATGAAGATTATGAAATGTATACGTAGTCATTATTTTTTACCTAATTCATCGCTAGCTGGCAAAGTTCCATGCGCATGCAGCTCTGTGTCATTTTTCACAATTTTAATCTTCCTTTCTCCTCCTTTTTATATTGATTTCAAGTAAATGATTAATCTATGATGAAACTATAAATTATATATTCTTGACGTGTATGGTATATATATATTAAACAGGTTGTTCACCTTTAACTTTACTTAGGAACGAAAGGCGTCCGGAGGATTACGGTCTGTGTCGCTTACATCTCTGTTAGTTATTTTTACACGAAACGCGCAACAGAGAAAGGAAGGAAAAGAGAGGAGTGTGAGGCGTGGCGGGATATACTGACCACCATTTCTCCAATTAAAGTGCCTTTACCCGTTTATAGTTGAGAAACGGTATTTCCTACGATAATCTACTTTAATCTGTCATATACAGTTCCTAAAAAAAAAGTATATATATATATATATATATATATGTATAGTGCCGTGCAACGTTTCCAGCCAGTGACATTTTGTACTCGTAAAGGTAAGCCTGATAAAATTTGACTCATTATATTATCGGGTGTTAGTACAAGATGGTGAGTGACGAAATTTTGTATTAACAACTGATAATGATTAAAATTTTGTTAGGCTTTCTTTTTATAAATTTTAGTTCAAAAGATCACTTTTCGGAAGTTTTTGCACGCTACTGTATACATGTATTGGGAGTACAAATTAGTTCGGTCCGTTTTCCAAAAGATGATCGCCTCCAAAGACGAGTCACTTTTTCGAGATGGAATTCGAAAATTGCCTGAGAGATGGGAAAAAAATAGTAGCCAGCGATGGACAATACTTTAATTAATCTGTTCATTAATTTTGTTTTGAAATCAATGCATTTTGACACAAAAAACGGACCGAACTAATTTGTACAATATATACTATATATATATATACACATGTGTGTATATAATTTCTCAAATAGCTGCTACGAAAAGAGATCTTTATCCGTTTAAAAATTACTTATATCAAAATTAAAAAATATATTACGAACCGCAGATAACAGAATTCTGTAATCACTTATTTACTCATTTATATATACAATTGCAAATTTTTCGTAAAATCTGCCTGTTATCGATACAGATAACTGCCTCGAACGATCTTATAAACAATCTTGTGAGCACTTCGACCCGTTCACTTTATATTACAAAAACGCGCGATGTTCTTATACTTGCAGTAGAATAAGAAGAGAAATTCTCAAGTTTCGATTAAATATAAACAGAAAGTAGGCGAGGAGAATCGTGCGCTTCTTATCAAAAATATGAGAACATGAATGGTTATCGTAGATCCAAAACCGATTTGGAGAGGAACAATTGATATCTTATCACACGGCGTTGGTCAAGATCTTTCACGTTTCAGCGCGGCAACACTCGTATATGGTGTGACCCTATATACAATTTACGAACCTACCGACTTGTACTAGCCGCTTGCGTAATCGTGACTTTCATACGTTGCACTTTCGTTTTCGAAAGTATGATATAATCGTTATTTAGATAGAAGAATCCGATGGAACAAACAAAAAAGGAAACTATCACGTTGGTGCATTTCTCGCGGAAGCGTCCGGAAAACTTCCACGTGTTAGCGGGAAGTCGGTGGAGTAATAGAAAACGGCTTATCGAGGCTCTTTGGAATTCTGGGAACATATTATTGTTAACGAGATGGCGTTATTACCCCATTTTATTTTATTTTTTTTTCCATGGAAGGTATGCGAGGTCAATTCTCGCGAGAATATTCCTCATTCCTCGTTCATTCTTTGTATAATTGAATTCCATACTTTTTTTTCCTTTCTCCTCGATATCTATTTGTGCGCTTATTTTATTTCAATATTTTGCCGTACATGGGATTTTTGAAGAAAATACTCCATCAGTATTTTTTGATTATATGCGAAATAATAGATAAAAAAAAGTCTAAAAATATACAATCTGTGACTTCTATGATAGAAACTTCGAAAGTTAAAACTCGTTAAGGCTTTGACAGATTACAAGAATCTTTAAAGATTTTTTTATATACTTAATTAATTCGAAATAATAAAAAGTTTGCTTCTGTTTCTCGAAGGCTTCTAAAACGCTGACGAAAGAGTCAATATTCATATTGCCGGAAGGTTAAATTCGAAAAGTATAACAGGACCGAGGTCTTCTCGAGCCACACAAAACATATACGATACGCTTTCGAATTTGCGTGAGCAACGTTATTATTATTAACTTTTAACTGCTTAAATTACTCGCATAAATATCACTATTGAAAAAATATTGGATAATACAATATATATACTATCGCGATTCCTATAATTTATTCATTTCTCAGCATCTGCCATCGTTGCATAATTAAGTCCCGTGGCATATCCGATGTTTTTTTTTTTGTACGACCCCAGCATCGGAGAATGGATTAAAATGGATTGGACATTTTGTCTAATCGAATTCGTATTTTAAACAGCGAAAACTTTTTTTTGGATTCAATTGGATTCAATTAGATTCAATTGGATGCACCTGGATTGAAAAACTGCGTTTCCTATTCAAAATTTCGAATTGTACAGTATTCACTATGTGGTCACAAACGCACTGAAAAAGCTGATATTATTTTTCGATTGAAAGGTATACAGATATGCTCCATGCAATTCCTATAAATGAATAAAAACGTATTCGGATTGAAAAGAATTCATTTTAACATTCATTAATCCGTATTTCTGAAAATCTGAATCTATTTTCCCGCGAAAAAAAATATATATAGATTTAATATAATTAAATATAAATTTTATTAAAATTTAATATAATAAGTACTTAATAACAATTCCAATAAATGTGGTTTTATTAAAACCTTATATAGATTTAATTTGGACCATATATAATGATCCATATTTAGTTATTAATTCAACTTATTAAAACTTGTTAATCAACTTATTTAAAACTTATTAAGATTTAATTAAATTATATAAATTGGACTTTAATAAAATTTAATAAGGACTTATTAAACTTAAATAAGTTGATAATATAAACTATATTAAAAGTATATACAAATATGCATTTATTTATAAGATTATATATAAAGACCTTATAAATTCTTTATATGAATTTTGATGAAATCTTTATAAAGAGAGAACTTATAAGACTTTTATTTAGAATATATTAACATTTTTTTCGCAGGTTAATCCATTTCAATCCATTCTCAGATACTGGGACGTTATGACTTTGCCCCTCCATCTCGTTGATTTCGATCGCAAGATGATACTTCGGATCCCGTGATCGAGTAATAAGAAGAGTCCGTTCGTCGGTCGGATTGATCCATGGGGCCATTGACTCGATCAGTCGACGCGATCACGAGGTGCGAGATATCCTCTCGGATCGCGATATTCGCGAGCGGGATCTCCTCTGAGGAAGCTGAAGGAGGGGGAGAGATCCGTTTTTTCCATCGATCCCGATTGCTCAACGATCGAGAGGCACATAATAATCATGGAGATTGTATCATAGCGGGTTAGGATATTTCAAGGCGATATACAACCCATTCTCCCGACAAGTCTCGCGCCGACTCGCGCCGATTCGCGGCCTTACTCCAGTATCCTCGATGTAATAAACGAACGAGACTTTTCGCCCGCGGCGTTCCCGACGCTCGGCCGGGGCGCGCTCGTTCCTATCCGCTTCTTGCAATCCGCCTATGGGCGCAAATAAACGGCCGCGAACGAACCGATCGGATCGCGAGAGACAATCGACACTTTTTATTTCTCTAATACACGTATAGGTTCCTTTTCCTTTTTGTAATTCGTCTTTACTCGCGATCTCCTCGCCGCATTTGTCCCCCATATATAGTTAATTCGCCTTATTCACTCTAAACGCGCCTCCTATCTCTTTCATTTCCTCCACTTTCCCTCGTTATCTTCACCTTGTAGCACTATTCTCGGAATTCCGATACATTCAACATGCATTGTCGATTACGGCACACTGCGGGATTGGGTTTGCAAGGCATATATTATATTAATCGTAAAAATAGCCACGTGATTTGTCATTTACGTCAGACACTGGTCGCGACTACTACAGTCATCATCATGTGAGTCGAGATCGTAGACCACTTAGATTATTGCCATGAGTGACGTAACGAGCAAGCAGGACAGTGTGTACTTGAAAACGTATTGCCTTTTTACGCCTACATTTTATGTTCCAGTTATTGTATGTGAAAGAAATGTACGTTAATTGATAATTTATAAATGACGGAGAGAGATTAGGACAGGTAATTTTTGTATAAGGATGTCTCGCAAGCTTGATTATGAATATACTGATTAAAGAAAAATATTTTCAGAAAAATATTTCATCTGAAGTTTATGAGTCTTTAAATTATTTTTATACAAGAGGTAGTATAAGATATTAAAAAATAGGTTTACATTTTTAATATTTGCTTTGGCGAAAATAGAAATTGGAGCAAGTTGAAGAGTGACAAAAGTGCAAACGAAGTTAGAAGGCGTTTACACTTTTTTTTTTTACATTTCGTTGTCTCAACTTTCGCCTTTTAAAAGCTTTCTTTATTCTTTTGCCACTCTCTCTCTTTACATTCGACTTACACTTCAAATCTTCATTTTCGCCAGGACGTTGAATTTTTTAAAACATCGCAAACCGAAAATGTTCTCATGTTTCTCGATCGATGTTGACATCCAATTTTGTACTTTAAGAACAAAAAGTGTCACGACGATGAAGGAAGATACGATTAATTTTTGTGAAATTTTAAACTGCACTGATCAGATAACTCAACAAACGCCAACAATAACACAACTCGCGGAATATAAAGTAACGTTATATTACATCAATATCATAATTTCCTACTCAACATCGTAAATATAATACACACATGTCGTACATAATTATATATACAGTTATATTGTTCAAGAGGAAATTACGACATTGTTGTAACGCGTTATCTGTCAGTTTGTGGGAGCTGTTGGTTAAAATTTCTCACTCAACACTATATATATAAAAATAACATAACAGTTACGTAACGAGTAACAGTTACAATATATTGTCAGGTGGGAAATTATACCTAACAATTATGTTACTGTTAGTCGGCTGAGTGTTTGTTGAGAAGTTTCCGAGAAAATTATTCATGTTTGACAAATCTTTAATCTTAATCTCCGCGGGAAATAATAACACGTTATGTAGAAATACAGACGATATGTATAATATAATTCAGGCGAGTTGAATTTATAAAGATACAGCGAAGCGAAAAATTGTTGATTTCTCGCGTGCTTCTCGATCTCCTGTATATTGCAGAACGAGATCTCGCGTTCGCTCTGTAAAGGCGGTTCTCTGCTGAGAACAAAGCGTTACGATAATCGCAGCGAAAAAAGAGCGTTCGAAGCGGGCGGGGTATGTGTGTGTGTGTGTATTTCCTGAATGAAAATCCATAACCGGATGGCGACGCAATGCACGGTCCCCTTTCATTCCGGCCGCGCGCGCGGCACTTTCGGTTTCGTTTTCTGCAAAGGTTCCCCGGTCTCAACTCGCTGCGCACGGCCGTGCTATGTGGCCGCAGCGCGTGGTATATTATACGACGGGAAAGGTTCTCCGCGGAGCTCCAGGGTTCCCGTGAGGTCTTACACCCCACCCTTTCACCGCGGCGTTCACCGCCACCTGTACAGGTCGACCGAGACTGGAGAATGGGACCGCGCTGGTTCTCCAAGTTGAAAAGGAATGGTAGTGAGAGTCCGAGAGGCACAGAGCGGTAGCGGGGGAGGAAAGGGTTTCACGAGCGGCTGTCGCGACTATGTCGAGTGCGCTCGCTCGCTCGCGAGCGCGCGAGCGGCCACTTTAATGTGAAAGTAAGTCTTACAGTTGACCGAAAACTGCGTGCCCGTCGTGCTCTCGTCGGCTATCCACGACCGACGTGCCATGCCGTAGCGTGTTGTTCCATCCGATCGTGTACGGCTCGCAATCGACCGGTTCTACGGCCGCGGTCGGCACGCTGTAAAAAGAGAAAAAGAGAGAAAAGAGATTTGAAAGAAAGAAAAAAAAAAAGAAAAAAAAGGGAGATCCGCTCTAATCGCTTCGCTAATTAATTACCGTATCGACGCGCGAGTTGACTCATCCGCACGGCACACGCAATACTTCAATCGCGACTTCTCTCAACTTTCTATATACACCTGTCCGACGTTGTTTCGTTATAATCAATCTCGATCAGCTGTCCTTCAAGTCGCCGCTTGTTTTTGAAGGATTCAACCCACAGGACGACACGGGGGCGACGTTAACAGCGGGACTGCAAGAAGAGGGAAGAGAAGGAAAAAGAGAAATAAAAAAGAAAAAGGAAAAAGTGAGGGATACATAAAATTATTTTGTACAAAGATTCGATCGTCGTTTTTTAATTGAACAGTGACGAGAATTGGCTCTCTCTCCGTTTAAGTCTACAACATTCAGTGAAGTGAAGCTATATCTCGACTAAATTGAATATCTTCTCTTACGCAAAAAGTTTATGATATTATACTTATTAATTTCCTGCTTTTAAAAGAAAAGTGCGTGCGAATATTAAAACTATATGAATCTTTCCAAGCCTAAGAACTCTTCTTATTACGAATAAGATAAGCAGTGGTTGTGCATATCGCGGAAAATCGTATTCGAATAATAATAATAATAATAATAATAATTTATTTTTCAATTTTTCGAGTAAAAATCATTGACGCATTTTTAAAAGATACACGTTGCGTTCTATGTGTGTTCGTCAAGTTACGTACGGATCTGTACAGAAAAGTTTAAAAAAGAGATAAATTAAAATTTATTAGTATAAATTAGATTCTTTGTGTGCAATTATATATAATGTGTGGACGAAAATTCACCGTATAAATGAATCTCAGTCACGGTTCCATTTATATCCGCGCGACACTATGTGATGCTACATCAAAGTGCGACAAGTGAGTGAGGACCAGAAGTTAAATGTATATTCACGCATGTGACGAGGCTAAACAAAACGGAAGAAAGGAAGGAAGGGAGGAAAGTCGAAAGCGTATTCACGGATTCACGCTTATATTCGTCCGTACTTTTTCCATCGGACCTCCAATAAGTCGACTTAATTGCAAAAATTGTATATGAATTCTTCGTAACTATGCGCTCACGTCTTCAAACGTAATCGCGCCGATCGCTACCTCGCGAGGCTTTTTGAGATTAACCGGATTCGCAGGACATTGTAATTATGAAACAAACGGTGCTCGTTATCACTTGCGTTCTGGGCTTTGTCTTAGCGGGAAGTCCCCGATTACCTCGAACGTCCGCCGATCAGCGTGGCACGCGCGGTGCGAGCCATAATAATACCGGCGCAACGCTACAGCCGTCCTCCCGCAACTTGCAACGAAATAGGTGAGAATTTAGAGAGGATGTCGTATACTGCATCCCCGACTCCTTTCTTTCTCTTGCCATTTTTTTTTTTTCTTTTGGTTTTTTTTACTCGGAAACGAGAACATCTCGGTCTTACGCGACGGATAAAGTGCAAAAATGGACCGTAATAACAGATCTTACAGACGGGAGAACCGAACAGTTAACTGCTCGTTACGTAAACCAGTCGATCATACTCCCAAAGCTTGCCGATATTTCGCTTACGAAACTTTCCATTTAGTTTGCGAATGTATTCATAACCGTGCATCACGCGATGTTGTAGCTTCACTTTAATGACACTAAATGGCGATGTATCTTCAGATAGAACCATGGAGAGTCGTTGCAAATCTTTGATTCATGGTACTATAATGAGCCATTTCCATTTAATGCAATGACGACTGGAGTAATTGAGCAATTTTTCAATGATAAACTTGTAATATACTGCCGTTGCTACTGAACTCATTAACGGAAATTTACTTATATATAAACAAAGAGAGCACGCACAGTCAGGAAAACATGTTTTATAAAAAGATATTTCTCATAAAAAAATACATATATATGCATATAATAAATATAAATAAATATGTATTGGGAGTACAAATTAGGTCGGTCCGTTTTCCAAGAGATGATCGCCTCCAAAGACGAGTCATTTTTTCGAGATGGAATTCGAAAATTGAGAGATGGGAAAAGGTAGTAGCCAGCGATGGACAATACTTTAATTAATCTGTTTTTAATTAATCTTGTTTGAAGGCGAATTATCGTTAAGTAATGTTTAAATTAATGATTGAAAGTAGTGACTAATTATATGTTTTACAGTTGAACAAAAACCTTTTTGACTCTTATATCGCCCTTGACATCATATTGTTTTAATTAATCTGTTCATTCATTTTGTTTTGAAATAAATGCGTTTTTGAACACAAAAAACGGACCGAATTAATTTGTACACCTGATACATGATAAAAAAGATATTTGAACGATTTATTTTATCATTGAAGAATCTGTTTCGTAGACATCCGCGCATATATTCTGATATTGCCAATGATTTCAAGCGTAACAATTAGACGAAGGCAATAAATTATCTGTTGTAGAGAACAATACCTTTTCAACGTCTTCGAAGTGATAGTATCAACTTTGGAGTCCAAATTACAACGAATCGAGAATTTAGATAAGGCGGTGGAGCACTTGATGAGAAGAGTCGAAGCTTTAGATTCACGTGTAAACGATAACATTGACAAAACAGATGCGGTGATTACTAAACTTAGGACGTTAGATTTGAAGCTTTTCAACGCGTATCCTAGCATATCCGCGGAAGTCGCAACGAGAATTACCGAAAGTAAAAGCGGAGGTCATACGGAAGACAGTAAGTATGCGATACATATCTTATTCACGGAGTTTATACTTTATATCTGGTTATTTAACAGTGGCGTAACTTCAAAATTTCGACCCGGGGGGCCTAATAACCTCTTGAAGGGCCCTCCCCTCCCCATGCGGAAGGATTGTTTAACCGTAAAAACGTAATTTTATTTTTAACTTAACTTTCAAATAATTAGTTAAATAATTGTGTATATAATTGTGTAATATTAATAGACAAAATAAGATCTCTGCTTTAAGTTTTAGCAAATAATTTCTGATAAAATTTTAGCGTTGACTGTAAAAATAGGTATATATCATGTTAAGTTTTTGAGAAAACCTCTCAATCAAAATTACTAAGATAGGCGTTTTTAATATTTTTGCGTTAGTTATATCTGTCGGTATAGAGATATACTAAAAATGACTTATGGAATATCAAGGCAAATGGTTACTTAGACAACGTAATTAAAAATAAAATTAAATTTCAAAGGCTCCAACGACCCTTGGGCCCGGGACCGTTGCCCCCTCTGCCCCCCTGTAGTATTACGCCACTGTTATTTAATCGATTTCAATTTTTATCGTATATATGACACATAAAAGGAAAAAATTGAATTGTATCAGGTTGTTTTAAAATATTTATTAAGCTACCGAAACGTATATAACGTCCATGCTGGACAGACATGTTAAGCATAGCATGCAAATTTTTCATATATATGTACTTTATGATGCTGTTATAACAGCACGAAGTTAAAATAAAGAGTACCTATTATGATGTTATGTTGTTGTTATACATTTTATGTATTTTACAATACAGCAATAAAATAAACAGCATATTGCCGCAATTTTTACAGAAGATAATTCTAATTTGTAACATTGAAAATGATCCGATCGGAGTCGAAACGTCTGTCAATTTGTAATTTTTAAAGCGTTTTATTAAATTTTAAATAATTGAATATTGTTCGATAGATTTACTTGGCTCTTTGCCCTTCTTATATTTGTATTGTTTTATACATATAGAGCCATTTCATTATTTATTTTACAGAAGAACTTTTTCTACATGCTGGAAATATTTTACGTGAACGTAATCTTTGAGTATTTATACGGTTATTTTCAATTATAAATTTGTTCATTATTTACACAATATGCCAACGTTTGTTTAGCTAGGTTGTGTGCAAGGAAAATGAGTTAAATTATTTTTATTAGAAAATATAGCAAAATAGAAAATAAGCTTCTCATTAGAAACTAGCACATTTAACTTTTTATTTATAACGAAACGTTCTGCGTAGAATTATTTTGTAAAGATTTAAAATTAAAATTATTTAATACTAATTATTAGCTCGTTTAAATAAATATTTGACCTGGTATGCTAATGTAAGAATTTATTTTATTATCATACGAGCGAAAGTTTAACTAATGAATAATTTAGAATTGTTCATTTTAATTATTATTAACTTTTTATTATATTGTGAAAATAAACGGGTGATAAAATATGATTTAAATCAAATCGTATTATTGCAAAATGTTGGACTAAAATGTTACAGTTCCATTGATACGTGTGATTCATCATGATGAAAACAATCAAGCACCAGAGACTGTTGGCGAAAAATTGATTTCTCTGGATCAGAAAGTTTCCGATATTGATCATAAGCTTGTTAATCTTAAGAATCAGCTCGACAACAATTTTTTACAAAACGATGACATAAATGCCGAGGCGAGTGAAAAGAAGCCTGTCAGTATGAGCGTGATCGAGATCACCAAGGCTATGAGTAACGAGGTGATGAACCACATGACGCTCGAGATTGAGAATCTTAAGCAAGCGACTGGTAATATGGATCGAAAGCTTCAATTCCATATGAATCTAGTGTCGGATAATCTCGGAGCGGTGTACAATATGATTAGTGATGTGCACGGTGCTATTGTCGAGAAAAATAAAGAGAACAATCGGTATAATCGTCTTAATTCGACAACAACCGAAGCCCCGGCAAAACAAAGCAAAATCAATCGCCTCACCGAACAAATGTATCCGATGCTTACAGTTTCTGAAAAAATGGACCAAGTTTGGAACGTAGTGGTGAGTTTTAAGTATGAAATAATATTAAATTTTTGAAAGTGCATTAATGCGTCGTTAAGAAGCTGGTATTACAATCAGTTATTGGCGCATAGTAACGTCAAAAGTAATAATAATAATAATAATAATTTATTACACTTTTTAACGTAATGACGCCAAAATTAGTAACATAATGTTAATTTGAATGATACATTAGATGGGAACGAAAAGTTCAGTGGACGACTTGCTGCCGAAATCCGACGAATTACTTACTCAGACTCAAAGGCAAGAGAGAGCGATTAGCGAGATTCACGCCGATCTGAGATCAAAGACAAATAAGATTATCGAAAATCTCGAAGGTGTTGAAAGCCGCTTGAGGAAACAAGAGGATGATGTAGCCACTCTCGCGCAACGTCCGATTGCGGCTGAATTGTTATTAGATCCGACGATCGATCGACTCGTTGAATATGATCCAAGCAGGTAAACATTCTTTTCTACATTTAATTTACAAAGTGATTATCGAGGATTACGTAATGACTATCGTATTTGCAACAGCGCTCGATTTAAATAGTAACAATTACACAATATAATTGTTTTTTAACGAAATCTCTTTCCTCCAGTTTAAAGTATTAGGTGTAGTAAAAAGAAATCCATTATTTTTCCAATAGATTTCATGCAAAAATAATGGATTTCTTTTTATTACACCAGTAGAAAAAATATCTAATAAGTCAAAGACGAAATAAGTCTCATGTTGTTATTTCAAGATACGTCAGCGTAGCCGAAGATTTTGTAACGGAGATGCCCACATCTACGCTACCCACTGTCTCACCACCCTTGTCAACTACAACATCGATATCGTCCGTCGCTTCACCCTCGAATAATCCTACTTATAGTTCAACGACACCCATGACATCCTCGAGTACCGTGAGACCAAACAGCAGAAATCGTGGAGTGATATTCCCGAGTGTTAAAAATAAACCGAGTTTAGCAAATTCTACTTTCACAAGCGACGTATCAATCAATTATAAGGATGTCAAGGTATCTTAATATTTCGTGTAGTTTTCTTCTTTTTTTTTTCAAAGTATCATCTCGAACAATGTAAAGCGTGTTATTGCCAAAGAAAAAAAATTGCAAGAAATTATTGCCAAGAATGTGTATTGTTTAAAATATATTTTAATTTTTTTTATTTTTATTTGATTTTTATCACACAAATATTTTTCGCGAAATTTATTTCAGAAAACAAAAGATTTTGATAATATTTATAATACATACTGATTTTTAATTTCTTTATTTTTTTTTTATTTTAGGGTTACTCTTGCGTGGATTTATTAAACGGAGGAATGAGAGACAGTGGAGTATATTACCTACAAATACGCGGCACAACATATTGGTTCCTTAAAGTCTACTGTGAACAGGAAATTGCTGATGGTGGCTGGACGGTGAGTTTATTATTGACATCAAATATATAATTAAATGATGACATTAAAATAAGACTTATTAAATTTTATCAAAAAATGAAGTTATAAAAAATTAAAGAAAATCACAGACTTTTCTGTGGGGAGGGAAGACATATAACGATCAATTAATTAATACGAGCATATTTACGTGTCTTAGACATTAATTGTAAATCGATTTACAGCAAATTTTTATTTTTTAAAGGTTATTCAAAGAAGAGATGATTTTGGAGAACCAAGGGAGAATTTTAATAGAGATTGGGCAGATTATAAAAATGGATTTGGGGATCCCGCTAAAGAATTTTGGCTAGGCAATGAAAACATATATATGTTAACAAACAATGAAGATTACATGCTCAGAGTTGAACTTGAGGACTTCGAAGGTAACAAAAGGTATATGCCTAAACTGTAGATTAACTACCATAGTTTTTTTTTTTAAATATACTATTGTTGAAGGGCAGTAATAATTTATGCATAGCTTTCCGTATTAGTAACAGATCGGATAAATTGAAATCAATTGTAAATAATTATATAACTTCATTTTATTAGGTATGCACAATATTCGCATTTTAAGATTTATTCTGAGGGAGAGTATTATAAACTGGAGATAGATGGATATGAAGGAAATGCTGGTGATTCATTGAACGATCCTTGGTACGGATCAAACAATAGCCCATTCTCTACGTACAACAGGTAAGATATGTTATATAACAAATAACATAGAACGTTTATTATATAATAAATGAAACATATCTTCTTATATTATCGTAATCACAAGTGAAATCATATATATATATACACACACATTATACATATATCATAAGAACTCATTGGATTTAGAAATATTTATAATTTTAGGGATAACGACAGATCATCCTTGAATTGTGCTTCAATGCTCAAGGGTGGTTGGTGGTGGAAATCTTGCGGACGTGGCTTAAATGGTCTTTATATAAATGATCCACAAGATGTTACTGCACGACAAGGTATGTTCGTAAGTTGTCAATGCAAATATTAAATTTAAAAAAATTTCGATCTTTCAACTAGTAGAGTAAACATCGTAAATTATGGAAAAATCAAAATTAAATTCTTAATTTGTATGCACGAATAAACATTATGCTATTATTAAAGGTATCGTATGGTTCCGTTGGAGAGGTTGGGATTATACTCTAAAACGTGCATTGATGATGATCAAACCAAAAGGACCAGCAACAACGACAACAACAACAACAGTATAAACATTGGAATAGTGTAAAGTTTGAAACTTTGAAATTTTTTTACGCGCCATCATTAAATAACAACCTTGCACATAGTACTTAAATTATGTATTGCAAACTCATAAACACACTATTAATATGGAATTTTAAAGCACCGTTTTCAATTATTTTTCATCCACTATACGTATATCCATGTTAAATTTAAAAATATTGCAACTCAAATTTTCTTTGTATTCGACATAGTAAAATAATATTGCTCAATAAAAATTATTTTTCAGTAAGCACTCACATCAATTTATCGTTATTTTAAATATAAAAAATAGGAACTTGAGAGATTTATAGAAAGATGAAATTATGTAAATGAAGTGTTTGAAAAATTCAACACTATAGTCTAAATTTAACGATTTATTGAAATTATTTATAGTAATTTTTTTAATAATTTAATTAAAGAACCACTTCTTATACGAGTATACTTCATTTCGTATATTTTCGACGTCACTATTGATTCATATGAAATCTTCTATGAAGTAAAATATCGTAAAGCTCATTTTAAGTTCCCTTTACTTTCTTTTAAATAGAATAGAATTGCGTGGCGGTAGAAGATTGCATTTCTATTTGGCCCATCTTAAACTGTAAACGATGTAACCATCGTAAGAGTATCGCGTTTGATTCTCTTCGATTAGAAACGAAATTTTCCGCCATTTTATTCGGTGGGAAATCGCGGCAATTTTGCAACCGCATTTGTAAATGTCCTGGTAGCTAAAAAATGAAACAAATCAACAATCGGTCACTATACTTTATCTTTCTGCTTCGATTGCTCGGTTTCATCTATAATTCTGTTCTTACTTGAACATGATGAGAAAATAATATAGCATTCCATAGAGGTAGTAATTTGCTCAACAAGATCGATCCGCATTCTAATAAGGCCTCTAATAAGCTTAAGAAATGCAAGTTAAGCATTTCAGAGAGCTAAAAATTAAATTGTTTTTTTCATGTTGTTGCTTCAAGCTTATTTCAAATGTGTCAATTTAAGAAGATAGAATTTAAATAATACAGAGTAATATATCTTGTACTCACAGCTTTCGAATAAGAAACGAGTTGCAAAATGCATGGCGTTATCTTGCCCCAAAATTCTAACAAGATATTCATGGTGACATTGTGACTCTCGCTGTTTGTTGCATTATTCTTCGACATTTCTTCCAAATACATTGTCCAAAGCTAAAGTCAAAACGTAAAGCGCCGTTAATGCAAATTCAGTGCAGACTATAAATAATATTTCATAATCTAATGTATTATAAATATTATAATCTGAGGTATAAATACTTGGCAAAGAATGAACGCGTGGAAGAGCGAGGACATGTGAAGGACCGAGGTTTTCGATTGTTCTGGAAACCCCGAGAAAATGACTTGTATGTGATCTGCGATGTGGCAAGATACTTCTTGAGGTATCGGTTGCGCCAACGGTACCGTTGAATGAGAATGACTGTTATTGTTACTAGTATTCATTGCTATATGTGTAAGTGATCCTAGTAACAACCAGGATAAGAGTCTGATGTGGCCAATACAATCGACGTATTCACGAGCTCTAAAATGTTCACGTAAATTCAATTAGCTTCTATAATTGCATTAGAGAAAATCTTATTAATGATAGAAAATACAAAAGAGATGACTAATAGTGATAAAAATAGCTTACCCTTGTTGTATAGACGGCGCGGTGTATAACCACGGTAAGTAACGTGCTACGGCTCTGTTCTCTCTATTGTTGCCTCTCGTAATTTCTAAAGCTACGTATTGAGCAAGGCCACACTTCAACATCCCGCCTATCGTGTCTTCGTTTAATCCTGCTTGCATACCTTTGCTATAACTCTGAGAAAGAAATTCTTTAAGTGACGAGGAAAATTCATTTCTCAGAATCTTATTACGTTAACTAGCAATTGTAATTTAACACACACATGTGCATGTTAGATATATTACCTTGATTTTACTTAAAGTATGAAAGTCAGTTAAAAATTCGAGAACATCCGATAACTGATTCTTTAAAGATTCAGAGGCATTTGTATTGTAGATCGGCGACATATCTGTCTGAATATTATTTTCCATCGCTACACTATTAGGCAAGGATCCTCCAATATCCTGTATTAATTATGTTATTATTAATATCCTTTTAATTTATCAGTTTTTTTATTACAGACTAATTAGATTATATCTGAAGTTTAAATTAAAAAGCTTGATGCGATGTTATGAATATTACAATTACTTACTTGGAGCACAAATTGAAGCAATAATAAAAAGTTGGAGTCTGGTATTGTAATTTTAAATTTAATGGCCTGAATTAATTCGAATACAATCGTTCTTCCAAAAAAGTGTTTGTCACGATCACGAGTAAATCCTCTATGGCATAAATAGCACAAGTCTGTTAAATAACTATATTGCAATGTTGAGTTTTGTATAGCGTAACTTAATACTTTGGAGAATGGATCCAGCATTCCCTAAAAAAAATTTAGATACAACGCTAATTTAATTAAATATATTAATAAATAAGTCATATATTTTTTTTAATTAGTAATTCAATAGTAATAAAAACAAGAAAGTAGACTCTTACGTAATTTTACTGATTAAAGTACCTTTGATTGTTGAATTCCCGGAACCTTTAATATTGAAATCATAATTCGTAAGAGAGGAGTAATGTCTTCAATGGAAGGAAGCATAAGAACGAGTCTTCGAAATAATCCATCAAACTGTGTCAATAATCCACTCCATGTAGCCGCAGCAGGACCCAATCCTGCTTCCAATGGCAAACAATCCAAGTAACACGCAATATTATATAATATTATTGGCAGCCGTTCCAAGGGCAATGATTTTTTCATGTTTAATGTCTAAAATTAAATTTAATAAAATTGAATAATTAAACAGGGTAAAATTTACTTTTTATACTTTTTTATATATATAGTGTGATATAAAAAATTCACTTAGCGAGTTACAAAAGCAATTAAAAATTTTTTTTATGCGTAATACCTAATTAAATTACCTCAAGCAATAACTGCAATGGCGCGATTGGATTTAACTCGTTAAAATCGACCAAGGCTTGCGCAACACTTTTGAAAAACTGCAACCTTGTCGTTTCTGCAAGTTGAAAAAAGAGAATATATATATATAATAAAAGAGAACTAATTATTGAAATTTTCCAGGGAAATTGATGTTAGACAACAACTGTATTCATAAAATGAGTGACAATTATTGGAAAACCTTTCACAACATATACTTTTACACAAGGCCGGCGATTTCAATAAGGTCGGTCTGGAGCACTCCATACATACAAATTTCTAAGCTATGGAATTCTTCCATACATACGTCAAAACCTCGTCAAAAGTAAACACTAAATTAACACTTAATAAACATTTCATAAACACTTAATTAACACATAATTAGTTTCATTAAATTTTAATTAAAATACTATTAACAATTCCGGGTTCGTCGTGTTCTAATGAAAGGCCGTTTTCCACGCTTAGGCGTCTAAAAAATTTTCTTCAAGCAACAATGTTACAAAAATGTTTAAATAATATAGCAATTTTACACGTATATCAGGATATTGCCAAAGATTTCGAATTACTAATGAACAATTTTATAACTAAAAACAAAATAAGAGCATTTGCTTTATAAAATATGAAAAAAGAAAGAATAGTTTAAAATATTAATAACAATGTAAATAAGTGGCTCTTAAGATAAAAATAAATATTAATGTCAACCCTCCTCCTCGCCATCCTCCTCCAACCGAAACTCCATACATAGAAAAAATTTACTTCGCTAGCCCTGGCTCTTACATTAACAATTTCAGAATTAGAAAAATTATTTGAATTTTATGAGTCTATCAATATAACATTCTTACCATTCAAATGAGTCTGAAACATTTGCATAAATACTCCATTAGGTGCTAATTGGTGAAGAACGCATCTGAGAAATTGGTGCGCTACGCTAACCGCACCACCTGGAAGGTGCATATTTGTTTCACTTTGCCAGGGATACATTGTATTAAGAGAAACCCTATTATAAACAGGCAATACTTTAGTATTTTATTTCATTAACTTAAAAATATGGTAAAAATATAATATTTACTTGGTCACCACGCCGAGTATTTCTGGTAATAACGGTGCTGCTAGGGATGGTTCTCGATGAATGAACGTACCCAAAGTTATTATACACAATCCAAGTTCTTCATCGGAATATTCTTCTCTTATTGTTCCACACTCTGAACACCTGTAGTAATGTTATCAAATAAAATTTAACGTAATGCTAATAATTTTTAATAAAATAACAAGTAATATCTAATAACATCTAACATGTTAAACTATACCTATCGTAAACGCAATCATCGCCGATGCGAAATAAACTTTGCTTTAAATTAAAATCCGCATGATACGCTTGTTGAGAGACAAAGTCCAAGTTTTGTTGGACTTGTGGGCCAGACCTATCGAATAAGAGACAAATGTACGAATTAAAATATATTATCTGTATATATATTAGACATTTTTGTTACAAAAGTATTAATAACATAAGAAATTTACCAGGATTCCATTCGTCTCGCGTGAATAATCATATCTTGATCCGTTATAGCGGTGATCTTCCGTGCTCTATCACGTTGAATTCGAAATTGATCCTTCGACTTAATTTTCTGATCATGATCTGCTATTTTCGAGACGAAATCTCCAAGATCGATCGCAGGAGGGGATGATTCCAAAGCTACCTGTTTAATTAGCCTTCTCGGACTTGGCGATCTACTCGAATTAATTTCATTGCACGTCGGTACAAGTGATATTGACTGTGAATAATAAATAGAGGATATTTTATCTTTACAAATTTATTTTTCCTAAAAAATAAGTATCTATCTTGTGCGTTCGTAGATCACGCGAGATTACAAAATAATCAATAAAGAATGTATTCTTACCATATTATCAGATGTTCCACTATCCTGCTTCGAGAATATTGTATCACGTTTTGCATCTTCGTTCGATTTATTTATATCTAAGAGAGAAATATTTCAGAGTGATTGTGATAATTTACGATAAAACAATATTTAAATATTTGTTATCTGCTTATCGTTAAGGATTAGCGTACACAAACCTTCGACATCTGAAATATCGAGAGCTTGACGTACGCGATCGACTAAGCTGGGGAAATCTCTTTGAGGCCCGACCGGCAGTAATCGTTCCGGCGTTGGAAATTCCAGCTGGGAAACGCTATGCGGACTCGTAATATCGCTGGACATACAAGTTTCACTGTCTTGCTCAAATGAGGAACCTATAAAGTTGCAATTAATTTCAATTTTTCAGATTAGACAACCTTTCTACCATTTTATTTTGTTTGCATGATTAAATATCTATTTCCTTATCACTTTTACTTACTGACTGTCAAAATGTCCATTTTTGACAATGGTGATTCTGGAGAACCATATGTATCTTCGCATTTTAATACACGTTGCGCAGCTCGTGATCCTAATAAGAAATTGTTTATTTTATTTATCATTAATTAATAAAACAACAATACAAATTGCTTACCAGTTGCTCGAGCTATTGTCCCAATGGGAAGCAATCGTTCAACGGTCGGAGTAGTCATTAAAGGTTGCGGACCAGTAGGAGGATCACCTGTTTGCTGTCCATTCTCTGTACTTATGACTTGCGATGATATAGAAGAACTCAGTGCCGGTGAACTCGAATTATCGCTGTTCGTCACTGTAATTACTTGACAAGGTGAAATCGGCGATGTCGCTGTAATTGTGATCTGTTCCACATGTTTCTGTCTACCTAAATGTTTAGCGTTCAGAGGTTCAATGTAATTGATAGCTTCGACGGTTTTAACGACCGCTTTTTCTTTCTCTTTTTCTTTTTGTTTCTTCTCCTCCATTTCCGTCTCCTTTTCCGTTTCTTTCTCTTTCTCCTTTTCCTTATTCTTTTCTGTCTCTTTAGCCTTTATTTTTGGTAACTCAGGTCTAAAAATTTATAATGAAAGGAATATAAATATACATTATTAATATTAATAAAAATAAATATATTTATTATTACTAAAAAGTTGCATTGAATAGTAGCACTAAAAATATGTCTGGTCTTACTTTTGAATATGAGATATGCTGGTAGCAAGTGCTAAAGCGCTTGATAAATCGTATGTTTTCGACATGTCTCCGTTGTAAGGTAAACGTCCTTTGCCGTTTTTAGTCGACATAACTGGTTTAGGCAAGAATTTTGGAGGCTCCTGTTGTCCAGCGAGAAATGTGCTCGTTACCATCATTTTCACTCCTTCATATACGCTCCATTTCTTTTGAGGGCCGCTTTTACTTCCCTGGAGCAAATGATCACATATTTTTAATTCGCTAAATAAATTTTGATTATTTTGTATTTTATTATAAAAATATGAGAACAAAATTTCTCATTTTATTAAAAATTGGTTCTTTTTTACTATATATTATATACACTAATTATTTCATTTATAATAATTACTTGATTAACTTCATCTTCATTTCCGCCTAAAAACCATATAGGCTTCGTCACGGATTCTGCCTTTGACTTATTAATATTTTGATTGTTCGGTTCAGCCGTCCCCTCCAACACAATCGACATACGTGGTTCTTGAAGAAATGCGTTTCTGGGAACCGATTCTTCTAGTTCTCCAAGAGATCCTCCACTGCTGCCATGTAAGGTGCTGTCAGATTTTGGACTCTCAGGAATCGCTGCCAGCTCGGACTCCGTATCATCCGCATTGATCGAACTTCGCAAAAGTATTCGCAATAGCGACAAATTGTAACATGCCACTATTTATGTAAATAAAGATAGAAGCGTGTAATAATATTAACAAAATTCAACGTCTATTAAATATTATCTATAATAGAAGTAATACCGAAATAATATGATAAAATAACTGATCGCTAAATATGTATAAATAAATAAATAATCTTTTTTAGAAAAAAATATGCTAATAATTGCTATTAAATAAAATATGATTTTTATCTACTCTTTAACTATTTTCTGCAACTTTTCTCGTGAAAGAGTATCAATTATTTTAAGACGATGCTGGAGAGACGGCCGAACTTAATCGATGTCTGCTATATCTTATATATCGCTTGAACGTGAAGTTATGTACACTCAAATCGTATTTCTCATACCATTTCTCTTGTAAGCTTCAAAATCATAATTTGAAAGATACTTTTATAAATTAGTTAAATACGGGAAAGTATTTTTTGTTTGGATATATGTTTGCATTCGTTTATATATAGATATGTATGTGAAGAAAGAAAATCTATATGGTAACAGAAAACTGTAATTTAAAATTTTTGGGGGATTCTTATACCGGTTTGTACGTTTCCGCATTTATTTGTGTTTTTCCTTTTATTCTGGAGAAGGATTTTTTATTCTGTATAAGGAAAACAAAATAGTATGAGAAATACGAAATGAGCGTTCCGTCAGTAATTCCAGCATCCCCTTAAGGATCTAGTACGACTAGAAAATTATTGACCTAGTAAAATGTTTGTTGAAATAACGACACGCTGGACTATTATTCTCTTCCCAATGAGTTTCCATTTGTCCGTGCATCCCTCCAGGACTGCGTTGATGTACCGAAATTGGTGCGCGCATCGGCGGAGTTTCTGTGTCTATTTCTCCCACCGTGTTCGTTGTCAATTCATGTTCTACTCCGAGTGAGGGTTGAGATACATCTGAAAGATACATATATCGCTTTATAATTACTCTAAGATACGATATTTACGATCTTTTAGACTTGTTTAAATTCTGACCGCGAGATCTCGAAGGCGGTGCACCCATAACTATAGTCGCTGGTATTCTTCTGCATTGATGATGCTGAGTATTGAGCGTATTCAAAACTATCTTCACTAATGCTTGAAGCTGATTACACCATGGTTGTTGCCCATACTGACACTAAAACAATTTATAATATTATTAATGTGAAAATCTGTAATAATTTATTCGCGCAAAAATTTGTATCTTGTATAATTACTTGCAAAGATATTTATATTTATACTTATCATACATATAAGTTTCCTTAAAAAATCAAATTCTGCGAATTTTATTTTATTATATACATACATAATATATTTATTCATTGTAAAAAATAAAATGTTCATTTTAACTTAAAACCGTATAGTGGATTTTCTGAAACATGCACAAAAATGTTAATTTTAACATTCTGAGACACGCAAAAATGTTAAAATTAACATGTTTCAGAAAGTTCACTAAACGTCTTTAAATTAAAATTAATATTTTATTTTTTAAAGTGTTATTTTTTTATATAAGTTCCTCACCTTGTATAGAATAACAAGCAAAGACATCAACCAGGACCGCCTGATGTGTGGCTCTAAATACCAAAGACTGTAGTTCGGTGGTTGATGATCAGTTGGAGGTGCAGATTGCGGAGGGCAAGGGCAATATTGTAATATCGCCAAAACTGGTGGCGTCATCAGCCAGCCCATTATATGATTCTGGTCTAATAGTTGTGGCAAATTAGCAATGAAGACGTTAAACGCTGGTGACAACCTATAATAATTCTTGTTATAAATTTTATTAACAATATTTAAATACTAAATCTATATCAAATTTTATTAAAATAATAAAAAACAGAACAAATGTGAAGGAGATCTTTAAACAAACATTTAATGTATAATTTTAATTGAAGTTCGACGAAACTGGAAATTGTTTTATTTATTTGATTACAATATTTTTTAATGTTAAACTACCAACATAATTCAAATACTTACTTGTAATAATAATTAATATAATAATAATAATACAATAATGTTACGAAAATCTCACCTTAATCGTTGCGGAGTGGTATGGAAAGAGCGTTCAGTCTGATTGTATCCCAACAGAAGATATAAGTGCCGCAAGACTATACCCTGTGTTTTCGACATTGGTTTCTCATCCGTCGGATAGGCCTGATTGAATGATATCAATTTAAACAATGAAAAAAAGGTCGAGCATATAGTATAACACTAGTTCTTTTTAGTGAAAATTGTCTATATTAGTACAATTCTAAAAGATACAAATGTAAAATCTAGACGTTTTGGCTATGAATTTAGCCATCTCATTGTCAGTATAAAAAAAATAATACAATTTCATCAAATTAGTAAAAAAAAAAACGCAAGAGTAAATTGTCAAGAATTTCTTGAAGTTATTTATCCTTTTATTAGCAATTTATCCTTGCATCTTTTTTACTAATTTGATGAAAATATATTATTTCTTTTATACTGAAATGGCTAAATTCATAGTCGAAACGTCTAGACTTTACATTTGTATCTTTTAGAATTGTATTAATTATAGACAATTTTCACTAAGAAGAACTAGTGTTGTGCCATATGCTCGACCTTTTTTTTCTTTGTTATTTTAAAGCCACTTATTTTTCTATTGTATTTGATATCAATTTACAAAAATTAAATATGTAAGATTGAGAAAATGCTTTACTATTTTTAAATATTTTATACTAAATATATACATATATAATATATACATCAAAAGCTTCTTCTCTTTTCTTTTGCATTATGAAGATAGATCTACTAGGTTAATGATTTACCTCATCCTGTCTGGATAGAAATTGCATTAAGAGGAAGACTAGTAGATGCATAGTTTCTTTATCTGCTTCTTCAAGATCCACGATTTTGTGAGTATATCCTGGTAGCGTACTAGCTTCGTCGACCATGTTCAATGAATGTATGTGACCATCTGTAAAGTTTTCCAATATCAATTACGTTCTACAGTTTGAAAACATTTACCAAAAACAAGGAATAAGATCTACAAAGTAAGAATATTAATATTGACTATATTTCTATATCTATCACTTTTTACAATTCAAAGAATTAATTATAAAAATATAATGCTAAATAATTCATAAATTTACAATAAACAGAAAAGAAAGACATGCACATCACATATTACCTAAAGACTAAAACGATACATAAAGAAAAACTAAACTATAAATTCAAAGCTATATTTTGAAATTAATGTAAGAATAAAGAATTTTGTTTTATATTATATAAGGTATACAATTTGTCTTCCTTTCTGTAGATATCTTCCCAATTAAATCTATTTTCCAAAATGAAAAAGGATAATACTATTTTGAAAAAATCTTTATTATTAATTGTACATTGCAAAACATGCATTTAAAAGCGATTTATAAATCCTTTTATAACTCAATTTGTTTTACGATTTCGAAAGCAATAATTTTTATACTTTAAACATACATTAATAACAAGACATCACTAAAGCATTTCTGCGAATTTTGCAATTGGCTACTTACCGTTCGTCCTATTCGAACGATCCATCTGGAGTCGATTGCGTTAACATCCGTGTAATACAAACGAGCAACATATTTGCGCGTACATTTATGTCTCGTCTACAGCTACGCAGGCAACACACGCTACTCTACCTGGAATACTGTTATTAGGCGGGGTGGACCCCAACAACTGACCCAGTCCGAATCTCGAGCTCTTCCTTTTCAAGATCGGCGCGGAATACTGTCGGCTGTACACCTTTTCCTTTTCTGCGTGAAAGATGCGGAAAACAAAAGGAGAAAAGTAACACATAGTGTACAAAAGTAACATAGTCTGTGATGTGCGCGAAAAGGCGATAGGGATAAGGACTAGAGAAAAGCGAGAACGTTTAGGGCACATACCTTGCTTAGTGTCTTGTCGGGGTATCATCGACGCGGGTGCCGACATCGTTCGCTTGTAAGGCCATTTTGTCCCAAAACTCGCACTCAGCGTTTTTACGGAACTTGTTCCGCTACCATCAGACTGAGATAATGCTTCATGTGCGCGATGTAATTTCTTCATGAATACCTCGCTATTCATATCTGTATTTTTTAAATCTATAACAGAAAAGCTTACTCAAAACGTCGATATATTTATATAAGCAACACAATTTTTTAAATGTAATTTAGTGTAAAATGTCATAAGATGTTTTTTTTTATATTTTTCTCACTATAAAGGATGATACTAACCGCGCAAATAAGTCACATCCCCTGATTTCTCCAAGTTGATTTGAGCTTCAAGAAATAACGTATCAAATCGATTCAAGAAAAATTCCCACGTTAAGATACGTCGATCGCTAAGACTATTGTGTAGTTGATAAAGCGATTGCAATACCATTGGCCGGTCCACTATTACGGAATCAAATTGTGTTTCCAGGCATAAAATTAACGACTGAAATAAAATTATAATAGCTTGAATGTGAGAAATTATTTTTATCAAAATCCACAGAAATTATGTATATTAAATAATAAATAGAGACTCTAATCTTGAGAAAACATGATTGATCTTTAAAAATTCAATTTCAGATAGGTGAAGTTTTAAGCATCTGATAAAATTTACCCTAATTGCTGTATCATGAATAGTACCGAGGTACAAGGTAGCACGCTGCGCAACGTATACATTATTATCGTCCATACTTGTTATTAAATAACAGAACGCATTTGCTAATGCAGCTTGAAGACTTAGTATATTTCGCAATGGCGTTGAATCCATAAATCTCGCGATTAACGTAACGCGTTCGACTGAAATATAAGAGAATATCAATTTTTAAGAATTGTAATAAGTTAGAAAATAAAATAAATTAATAGATAAGAGAATATAAAATAAATTAATATACTATGCTAAAAAGATCCAATTAGAACAATAATAAATCAAGTAGTCAACTTATTATATGTGATTACCCGCGACGAATCTAACGCGCCAATCGGAATTGTGAAATTCTTCTTGTACAAGCCGCCAGAAAGTGTCGGTGCCGCAGGGTAATGTTACACAATGCAATAACAACGGAACGGTCACTTGGGCTATATGCGAATGCTCTGCGTTTAGAAGTTCCCATAAGCTGTAAAGGATAATAAATGATTGAGAAGATTAATTGAAACCAAGTTCTGGTATTTATAGTCATCTCCATAGAAAATATTTTAACAAATGTGGTTAATACATACTTTTTTATTAATAAATTCTCTTGGCACCATATGAAGAATCCTTGATGATCCTTCACCGCGGTATTAAACGCGTCACCATACAAGCACATTACATTCAAACACTGCAGCATATAGTAAAGAATGTCCGGTTTGTCGATCGTCATTATCTCCTGCAAATAAAATTTTTCGAAAATAATTTTTATTCATTTTAATTAAATAGTTTTGTAATTGTGAAATTTATTCTTGTAGTTATGGAATTATAAATATTATATGATTTGCGAACTGATTACTTAAATATATAATAGTTACAGTCAGCGTGTAAATAAATTAATAATCGTAATTCTATGTGCATATTGCATACGTCTTGTTAGGTCGCTGTAATTTGTCGTACAGTGAAATACCTTCAGTAATTTATGAATATATTGAAGTTGTTCCGGTAGTTCTTCTATTGTAAAACGAAACTTCCCTACGGAGGTATGCCAAAAGTCATCCGAATCAGCTTCCGGACTTAAACTCACAGGTTCATCGTTTTCACCTATCAGATGTGGTTTTGCCACGCTCACTGTTGCGGTAGCTGAAAAAATATGTGTATATATATACACATCAATAATTATATTTAATTATATTATTATATAAATGCACAACACACACACACACACACATATATATATATATATATGGTGTGTGTTGTGCATTTATATAATAATATAATTAAATATAATTATTGAAAAGTTGTGATACAGATCAAGTATTGACTCACCGACGTCTGTTTCTGATAGTGTAACCGTTCTCGCGACTGCAGACATAATCTTCTCCGTTGGCATGATAGCTGCGAGATCCAGCTGTTCCGAAACTGTCTCTACTGTCGCTGTCATAATCTGTTCGAAGAACTGACATAAACGATCAAAATAGCTATTCCGATAACATAGATTAGCCTACCGTGTCTTTGTGATCGGGCCGTGTCGTAGAAGAAGAGACAGAGAGAGAGAAGCGCATACTGACACATATACACAATTAAGACAGTTTTAAGTAGCATGCTGCTTTATTAATGAAGGATTGTGTAAGACATAGTGACGTTATAGAAACAACATTTTTTTAGTGATGTTTATCTCATTGAAGATTAAAGAGCATATTTCTTTTTATATTCTTTTTCCGTTTTTAATAAAGTCATAGAAATTTAATTGTCAATGAGACATACATCAAATATGTTATTAATGTTTGAGATTGAGTTTTGCCATTTTAAAGTTTATTTATTAAGAGACGTACGTGTGGCATATGAACTAAGACTCCGCCGACAGAATGCATTTCTGGTACTGGCATGTTGATGACCACATCTGGTTTCGAATCACCCTTCTTTGTTGTTTCCGGGGAACTTTTGCGAGCGTTATCATCCGCATTTTCATCCACAATTGTCTAAAAAATATAAAAATTTATTAATTTTCTCTCCATTTCACATATGATATTAAAACATTGTAATATTGCAAAAATTAGTTATTATTTATAAATATTCATTTATTGTACCATTTTACTATAACTATACATAATAATTATCCATTAAATTAAAATTATAAAGTCAACTAACATCGGGAGGATACGCCGGATTTTCTGGTGCCATGTAAGTAATCAATTGTAGACATAGTTGGTGCCAGATTACCCTTGACTCGCAATAAGAGCATTCGATGTCCGAAGTATTATCGCAGACGTGAGAGTTGTTCCAGTTAGATGCAACTATGGACTTCATTAAATGGCAAGCATCTCGACAGACCCGTGTATTAATTCCGGTATGCTTGTCTACATTTTGAAGTTCCATCTGTCAAAATCAAAATTTTTTATTTTGCTTTTGTTACATGAGAATAAATAATGAAAGATTTTGTACATAATTAATATACAAAATATATAAATACATATATATAGGGCGTATAAGAGTCAAGAATAATAAAATATAAAATATGTATATTTTAAAAAATAATAATAAAACAATTAAATAATATTATAGGCCTATAATAAAATAACATTTTTCATCATTACTACAATTTTGTTACAAAATACTCTTTTAAATATTTATATATCACCTGTTTCAATAGTATGTCAAGCATAAGAATACAACAAGATAAATTAAGTTCTGCGTTCGTCATAAATTCGTTGTGTCTCGGTGTTGGTACTACATCATCGGAAAGTGGTGTTGATTTCCCCGAATCATTTTCCACTATGGGACCTAAACAAGTTAAAACCATGCTTAAATCTCAACTACGGTTGTATGAAAATTATATCTAAGTTCTAAAATGTCATGTTAAAAATATAGAATGCAAGTGAACCTCTTACAGTGATTGTTATAAAGAAAGGTTCAAAGCTTTTTTTATCTACAATTTAAAATCTCATAGTACTAATATACTTTTATCCAAAAAAATTTTCTCTTCAGGTCCAAATAATCCGTATAGTCGATGGTAAAAATTACACATCAAATTTATAATTTTAAATAATAAACCGCAAGTGGAGCCTTCTTAATTAAAATAAAATTAATATTTCTATATCAATTTTTTCGGCAAAAGTTTTATTAAGATAGTGATAACCAGTATAATAATAATTATTATAATTACATACATGTAATGTTTACATCATCTTCCTTCGTAGACTTGCTTAGATTTAATTCTGACTCTGCCGAGTTCATCGACTGCATAACGGCTACTCCATCGCTAAATATTGAAAATAGTTGATCCAAGGGTAATGTTATTTCCAACATGGTAAGCGTTTGCAACCAGTGAAGGGCCTGTTCTTGCACTTTAGCACTCGTATTGACGAATCGTTTTGCTATAAAGTTATACATTTTCTTCACGTCAAATCCTAAAGAATTCATGTCCCGATCCAAGATCTTGCTGTAATATAAATTGATAAATATTTTCCGTATAAACTGAAAATTTCAAATATATGTAAGCATTTTCTTGAAATAAAATGAATACCTCAATATTATCTTCAGCTCCTGAAGTTCATTTTCTGGAACGTCATTTACCACTGCTTCCATCCAGTGCGGCATCACGTAATCCCATACGTCAGGCGTAATCACTTCGTACGGTACCAGACAAAACAGCCGATGTAGTCCGTCTTTTAAATGCGATGTCCGAGAAGCCAAGGTTTCCCTTTCAGCAGAAAAATAAGTGATATTAATTTTGTCAACATGATTCAATTGTAATTGTAAATATTATAATAATGTTCATTATAAATTTCATATATAGGATATTTCTTAAATCCGCCCATGAATCATATAGCGCCATTCCTGACAAAAAACTGAGTTAAAAAATTCTCTATTATTTTGAAATTTTCGCAATAGTTAATGAAATTTAGGTTGGGGAAAAAGTCATTTTACATATATGTAACATTTACGTAATGTATTTCCAACCCATTGCGAAATTATATCATTCGATAGAGCAAAGTTTCAGCTTTAAGAATCTGTTTTTTAAATTGCAGTTCGATGATTTTTAAGGAAGTCAATCGAGCAATCAAAATCAGAATGCTCCTTTATTTAACTCGCAAATAATTCAGGGACAACAAATCGTAGAAATTAAAAAAAATTGATTTTGCAAAGAAAGCTTCAAGTTTTCGTAAAAGCCCCATAAAGTGAAAAGAAAATTTTCATATTTTCCAGCTCATAATTTTTTATATGCAAAAAATTACTAAACTCAAAAAATATAGTAACTTTTCAAAACAGATTTCAAGCTTAAAAACCCTTTTTTAAATTTAAATTTTATTAAATAAAAACATTGTAAAATAAAGGTTTTTTTATATATATGTAAAAAGACTTTCCTCAAATAAAAAACTGAGTCAAAAAACCCTCTACCATTTTACAACTTTCGTAATAGTTAATGATTGAATAGCCGGATACGCATTTATTCGACAATTTTTAGAAATTAATATTTCATCAACCACATACATTGCAAAAAACACAAAATTGTAGAGAACTTTTTGACTCAGTTTTTGATCAGATATATAACGCTATATGAGCGGACTCTAAAAAAATCATGCGTATATAATCAAAGTTATGTAAAGATTTTATTTAAAAATGCAAATCTCGGCTTTACCAATGACCTCCAACCCTGACGTAATCCGCAGGATGTGGTAGAAGACAGGAAATGAATACTTCATAGTGCGTTTTCATAACTTCCGAGAGCCAGTCGCAAACGTACTCCGTTTTTAACTTCTCAAGCGCGCTTTCCGCCTGGCCTGAAATATTTTTAATCGTTTGAGAAATTAATTATAAAATAGCAAAAGTATTAAAATTACTACAGGAATACTATTATGACTCATCATTAAACTATCAATTTAACAACATACAACACACGATTGGAACACATGAACAGATTTGACATTTATTGTTATCCCGAATTTTGGCATGCAGTAATGCGCGAGGCAACACTTTTCAAAATATTGACATTTAAGTGCAAATTTCAAATATGTGTCGAGTTGTGTGTTAACATCTTTGATACATTGCATGCAATTTTTATCAATGAAGTCTCGAATTAATATATTTTCGTTCAATTCGCGTACGACGGAATATACAATATTAAATTCGGCTAAATATTTCAGGCGTATTTTGGTTAATTTCAGAAACAAATATATCCAAACATCGACATATAATGTTTTTCTTGAGACAAACATGAAAGCTAACAACATATATTTTACATGTACAGTGTGTATACAGTGGATGCTTACATCTTGTACATCTTGGCAACATATTTAGCCGACATACCACGCTACTACCTACGTCTGGCTCTCTACGTCTACTTGAGTAAAGTGTATATATGCAAAGTGTTAAATTACCAACAGAAAAGATAAGGTGTATAAGTCTTTTTTCAATACCATCGAAACAGTAGGCAGTGACATGAAACCAATGAAATAACATTGATAATAAACGGCCCAGTATTTCAACCGGGGTATCTTCGTTAGGGGTACAAAGTCCCACTAGCAGCCATACGCCGTATCTGCCGAGGAGCTGTCGTTCCTCTAAGCTTGTAGGGTCGCAATGACCGAATGTACTCCCGATACCTCCAGCACCGGTACTACTTGCACCACTGGTACTTCCTACGAATCCTATGCCACCCTTATTGCTAGTACTAGCACTTATATCTGTGTCCCGATTGCTATCGATACTTATCGGTTCAGCTTCTCTGAGCAAACTGCAAAACAAAAATAGCATGTCTAGCTGGGCATTGATTGTGTTCTCGAAATGAGGTGAAAATTACATAAGTGAGTAAATTTATTAGAATATTAATATTTTAATTGATCAATATAGTGAATCTGTTTTTACTTTTGTAATTTTCACGTCATTTTAAAATACACAATCGACTCCCTAAACTTGCAGTTTTGGATTAGAGAAAGTCTTTTGATATGGTAGAAATTTAATTGATTTTACGTGCCACTGTAACATATCAAGTTATTCATTGTTGGAAAGGTGTTATTTCATATGACATTTTGAAATAGATTGATCATAGATTTGAACAATACTGACGCATTCAATCAAATTTGAACATGAGTGAAACTCAGAAACATTTTCAACATATTTTATGTTTTTATTATAAAAAAAAAGGAAAGAACGCTATGCAAGCCGTAGAAAAAAATTTGTCGTGTTTATGAAGAGAATGCTCTAATTATCATACAATAACGAATTGGTTTCGTCGATTTTGAGATGGAAATTTTTATGTCAAAGATGCACGTTCTGGTCGGTCTAATGTGGAAAATGTCGACATTTTCCAAAAAATTGAAAAAAATCGTCATGTGAGCAGCTATGACATAGCTAAGGAGTTCTACACCGATGATTCTACTCGAAAAATGGCATAAGGTCATCGATCAAAACGGCAAATATTGTATTTAATAAAAGATTTATAAACAATTAAAAAATATGTTTTAATTATGCTCCAACTTGTAAAAGGACTTTTTCCCTAACCCAATTATCACTTATGATTATGGTTACAGCTTGCCTGACAATCGCTTGAACCATGTAAGTTTGCGCTTGCGGGTCCAGCTGCGAAATGTGCGGAAGCGCCATGTGATAAACGTGATCACCGCCACGGCGATTGTTATGACGAATACTGTGACATTGCTGACAATATCGTATAGGATGATTTCCATTGTAACTTGCGCATTCTGTCGAAAAGCAAACACTAATAGCTGATTTATCCGTCCCTCTACAATTCTGATAAAAAAACAGAAGATAAAGATTTAAATACTCGAGCGACCCTGTACATTATGTGTAATAAATTGAATTCTCTCAGAGTCAACGTGTTCACCTTGTTCTCGCAAACCATGGACACCTGTTGCATTGGATGCAAAATGTCATAAAACATTTGATTTGGGTGCTCCCGATGAATCTCATTTGCGCATTCGATGCAAAGATAAAGAGGAGGCGGAGATTCAACAGCATACGTGATTGAAATGTCGTGATTGTAACAGACTTTTGCAGCTTCCGCATTGCCGGCATTCGGACAGCTATCTCGTTGACATACGAACGGGGTGAAATCGTCTGGAATGCAAATAATAATAGTTTTATACATTACAGTAATATGATTTTTGTGGAATTTGTTCATTATCTCTCGCTTGCGTGTACATCGATATATTTAATATATAATATTTTTATATTTTTTTGTACACAATGAACTGATCGTTAATGCAAAACACATGTTCACAAAAATAAAATTTAATATATTAAACAACCTATATGTAATCGTTTAATATATTAAATTTTCTGATGGAACCAAGGAAGCTTTAATACGCTGATACTGCAATGTATGTATATATACACGAATACAATTTTAAATTACATTTTACTATGTATATCTTGTATGTTATCTTGTATTTTTGAGTGGATCCTTATAACAATATTCCGACATAACTTTTACTGTGGTAATACTATAATTCTTATTAAACCAGTGCTTAAACCATGAAAAGAGTTAATTTTTACTATAATACGCAAACAATTATTTGCTAGGTATATATTTTTTATTATCTTTACAATACTAACTTTTATTCAACAAGGTTTGATTTTGTAATAAAAAATTTTTACTATGAAAAGTGTAAAAATTACTTTATATTATTGTTTTAAAAAAAATTGTTATTTAAACTTATAATTTATTAAACTTATAACACGATGATCCGCAGCTTCTATACCACATTATAGTAATTTTAAATATAAAATCTTCGTGTACATAAATCATATACTTTATATTTTTATTAAGTATTTTAATTTTAAATTTAATACTTACTAGCAAATTTCACTAACACCGCACGACGATCGAATAAATTTGGATTAAACGAAGGCCAATAATAAAACAGCAATTTCGCAGCTGACGCTCTTGCTGACGCGGTGCCGTAAGCAATAACGCAAAGAATGTCTTTCACTACTCCTGGTTTCAGGGCCATTAAACACTCCAGCAATTGACAGTGATGCGCTAAAAAAAAGGAGAATGTACTTTTTCGTAGTACGCATACATCTACAAATTTAATATTTTTATTCACACGAACACACACACTTTTGTAATAAGATTTTAAAAAAGCGCGCATGCAAAAGTACTAACATAAATTATTTTATTTGTTATAATTTTGAACTATAATTTTATAAATTAAATGTATTAATTTCATACTTGTATTAATTTCATACTTTTCCTTGTGTCATATATATATATGTATATGATACCTGGATTATTAGAATACTGAAACACCATCATTATAACAGCAGCCACCGATTGACTAGCGGCACTTTCGTCTCCAATTTCAGGTTTCCTTGCTGAAAGTTAAAATATTTATAATAAAAACCTCTAAAAATATTTTCTTCTTCTACCATTAGCTTTTAAGTACTACAATAAAATCTGAATAATAGAAATGTAGCTGCGAGCTAATCTGGATAACGTCATCTCATAAAAATAAAAGTATTAATCTATTTGGTATATATTATATATGTATATGTATAGATGATTGAAGCTTATGTTTAAATTAATTATTAATAAAATGCGCACTATTCTACGTTTTATCAACTGATTTTTTAGTTGGCAAGCTAATTTTTCACTTAATGGAAAAGCTCATATCGGTAAAATATTAAAATTTTTTTCTACACTCACATTCCCTCCCGGCAGCTGTTATTCTCTCTTAGAAAGACGAGTGAATGTGTGCTTATCATATAATATACATAGTTCAAATAATACTGATATAAATATAAATGTAATAGAAAAACTCACTGATGGTGAACGGTAAAATGTAAAAACAGAGATAATTGACAATTTCTTCGTGCAGCTCCACTGGAAGTACTGATATCGTACTGGCAGTTAAGTACGATAAATTGTCGATTAGATCGTGATCCAAGAACAGCAGCATACATGCTAGACATTGCAGCAAGGCTTTCCCAAATGCTAAAAAAAGATTAATGTAAAATCATATCATATATATAGTCATTGGACTGGATCTTAGCTGTAGCAAATAATATTTATTATTGATTTTTTAATATTAAAAAAAAAGGACTTTTTTATAGAAGATGTCAAAAATCATTTTATTAAAATCAGAGGTAATACTACATTTCTCGAAAGTTTATCCACAATTACACATATTTATTATATAATGTATATGTGTATATAGAATTAAGAATTGCTTGAATATTCTATAAGAAAATTTACCGGTTTATAAACAAATTGTAATCTAATTATTGAAAGTAAATAAAATGTAAAATTTCTATCGATTTTTATTTAAACCACATAAAGGATATGTAAAATTAAGTTTTATAATATGTGCTATTTTCTCGGATAATTGTTAGAGAAAGTAACGAAATCTTTTCTAGAATTGGTTAGAATTATATATCTATATAAATCGTTATGAGTTAACTGCACTTCTAATTTTTCGTCTTGTGTAATATATAATAGTATATATTTTTAATAATAATAAAATGATGAAGAGATAAACCTGGCAGGCCAATGTGGATCAACGGTGTAACGTCGATCATCTGCGTCAATGCATTATAAAGCTGCTTGTAATCCAAATTTGGGAACAAAGCCATTCGTTCTCCATCGAGTTGTTGCGATTTGATCATATCGAATGGCGATACGGATGATTCTTTTAACAGACCTAAAAATATTTATTGCTATATTTAGTATACTTCATTAGATTATTTAAGCCATTATGTTGAAAAACAATAACACATGTATTCGTATTATATATAGATATGTATTGTAATATAAAGGAAAGTTTGATAAGAATATTTAAAAAAAGAGAAGATTAATATTACTGGTTGTACAAGTATTGTAATATATAATTATAAAAATAAATAAAACCAATTTGTTATACACAATTTGTACACCGATCACTTACATAGTAAAGTTTGAGAAAAATATTTCAATATATTTGCGATATCTAAACCAGAAGGTATCGGTTGAGTTCCATAAAGTAACCGTTGATAAGCGTCGTGTAGACTAGCGAGTTTTAGACTATCTGTAAATTAAAAATTTTATAAAATATTAAAAAATTTCTAAAAATTGTTCTCTTACATTTGAAAACGGTATCTATTTGTTAAAATTAATTAATAGATACATATTACTATTATTATTAAAAATAAATACAGTTATAAATTACAACAAAAATTTATTTCAAAAATAATGTATGGTAAACATATGGTTATAATTACATGATGCGTATCTCGTCCCCATCATGCCAATTTAACTGAGCAGGCTCACATTTTCACACACCGGGATGCATTGGATCGCAATTAAACTCTCTTTCTGACAATAAAGTTCTAAGATAACTTGATGTGAAGAGAATTATCTTGAAAAATAATATCTTCAATATTTCTTCGGAATAAACAGCTGGCCAAGTTCACGACTGGAATCATCCCCAACTATCGTAAGCTGCAAAGACAAGTGAAGACGAACGAGGAAAACGGACGTGCGCGCATTTTCGTATTGATCCATTTGGGGAACGCTCTGCGATACTGCGCATTGATATTTTTCGTCATTCCTCATTTACTCTTAAATAAAACCAATACATATTCGTGGGAGTAATAAAAAAACTAACTATATATTATTTAATTATAAATGTATATTAAAACTGCGATATATATTATTTAGATTATCCAGTTAAATTTTAATTTGCATATAACTTTAGTTTTGTTATTATCGCTATTTTAATTTTATTTAACAGAGTTAAAGATTTTAATAGTAAAATATATATAAATTCCATTTAACAGAATTTGTTAAATGGAATTTATATATTTTACTATTTTTAAGAGAATTTAATTGACGTTTGTAAATAACATTAAAAATATGAAATTTATAAATAAATGTGTGATAAAATCACTTAGTATCTATTATTTCTCTTCAAAATTTTAGATTTTATTTTTCCTAAACAATTCATATATAAAAAAGATATTTTTAGTTTGAAATTAAAAAATCTCGATCAAATTTGGCCGTTGACGACCCGTCGCTTAAATTGAGCAATTTATTTAAACTTACATATAAATAAGGTTAATTGAAATATACATACCTATGTAGATCAAGAATGTAGGATCAACAATACAACTCTCGTATAACAGATACGAAGTTTTAATTGCAATTTGCGTCTGACAATTCAAACTTTATTTAGCAGAGCGAAGGAAAACGAAACTCGGATTTGTATGACTTGATTTTCTTGTTAACTCCCGATTTAGCGAAGACGCGAACCCCACTTAGCGGCCGAGTTTCGGATTCTAGTTAGCGAAGACGTGAACCCCATTTCTCCTTGAAAGCATGCAATATGGCTACGGCAAGAGTTCGATTGGATAAAATGGAAGAAAATGGCATGCGAAGTGTTATTAAATTTTAGTGAGATGTTTACTTGCTTCGGTTGTGTAGAATGGGAGGCTGCATAGGTATAACGAGGGCAAGAAATGCCTCAATCAATGATACGTCGGAAAATTCGAGCAGAACTAATTCGGGTGAGATTGCTATCGAAGTTTCTTCTTTGTAGAAAATGCATTGAACACCAACTAACCTTGAAGTCATTTTAACTTTATTTTTGTCTTTGTATCTGAGGTGTACGTTATCTATTAAGTGTTGTGTCAGTCATATCTGCTTAATTAAGTTCAGTATATATATAGATGAGGTTTAAATGATGTCATGACATTAACATAATAACAGTACTTGTATTTTATAGAGTATATGACTAGTTCTTGACACTTTCTAACGGTCTTACATTAATTCAATAATTTTTTATCTATTATAAAAATATATTTTTAACTACATGTTCTTATTACTTAATATCATTTTTTTTTTATAATACATAAATATACAATTAACTAAGTGATAGAAACAGGGAACATATAATATAAAATACAATTACAAGATTGATTAATTGACAAAAAAGAAACGTACAAAACACTTAAAAAATTAGATTGTTTATTATATACCATTATGTAAATTTTTGTTATTCAAATATACATGATAAGAAATATACATACATTTCTATTAATAAAATTTTAACGATTTAATAGGTTGATTTTTATTTATCTCTCTCTCTCTCTGACTGAAATAATTTACTTATGTAGGAAATACAAGAAAAAATCATCTTCTGTGTCACGAGGTAATCAGATGGAAATCGGATGTACCTCTGACCGAAGGTCAACTAAGAAGTAAGCGAGATGAGTTTTGGGACACTGCACCAGCATTTGATGGTCGTAAAGAAATTTGGGACGCATTGAGAGCAGGTGCGACTGCAGCTGAAGCACAGGATTATCAGTTGGCACAGGCTATATTAGATGGGGCTAATATTTCTGTACCAAATGGTTTCTTAACTGAATGTTATGATGAGTTAGGAACACGTTATCAAGTACCTATTTATTGTTTATCTTATCCAATTAATATCGTAAAAGAAGATAGTGGAAGAGATTCACCTGCTGATTGCTCAGGTAATAAAATTATGGAAGATGTTATCTTGATATATGTACTGTATCCACAGAAAAAAAGATCTGAATATTTTATGATCAAATTAGAGCTACTCTAGGATATGACAATAATGCATGCAGCACAATATAATGCGCTTGAGTTCCCTAAATAAAATGTATGAGTCTATAACTCCTCTCTCCTTTCCTCTTCCCCTCTTCTCTCTCTCTCTCTCTCTCTCTCTCTCTCTCTCTCTATATGTGTGTGGATACAGTATAGTAATTTATAATATGATTTTTTATCTTATTGCTATATCAATTTTGCATAGAACCAGTCGACGAAGGAACAGAACAAACTTTAAAACTTAGACTGTCAACTACTTTAGGAGAAGTTAAACTACCTGTTTACAGCAATGATACCATTGCTGTTGCTAAGAAAAAATTACAGGTTTGTATAATATTAGTTACATACAATATTTCATTGAGTACATATATATATGAAAATAATGCCTCATGATAAAAATAATAATAATGATGTTTGTAATGCTTATAGAGTCAAGAAGGTTTGGAACCTTCACGTCAAAGGTGGTTTTTTGGTGGTAAACTACTTGGTGATAAAATGCATATAGAAGAAGCTAAGGTACAGCCAGGTTACATAATACAAGTAATTGTAAATCCAGAGAAATCAGATAATATCTCTGGAAAGACTAGTTGAACTGATAACATACATATAATGAAATACATTTCAATCAGCAATCAATAAGAGTATACTTTTACGCTTGTTAACAAAACTTGTTAATCCTATATCAAAGTAAGAATATTATGGTTTTTAACATTTTATCACATCATCATGAGTGATAAATGGTTTTAAGATAAATTGATTATATTATATAAATATAACAACATAAAATTTTCTAATACAAATTTCATCATTTAATGAAATCGCATGTTAAGTGCAATTAATTTTTTTGTTGTATCATATATTTATCCATATACTTTATTATACAATGTAAAAAAGTAATGTAAGAATGAAAGAGAGAGAGAGAGAAAGAGAGAAAATACTAATAGAATAAAAAGGCTTATCTTTATAAATTCGGCTTTCTTCAATACAATGTATTTTCTGCAATAAGAAAATTGACTGAAATGATTTATTTATATTTACGTAAGATATATATACATACAAATATATAAACGTACTATTTTTTATAATTCATAATATGTAAGTTTACAATTTAACATTATCAAAATTTTTCTTTTCTTATGGCTTTTATTGCAAAATCATTAAAAATTATATATTAAAACAAAATCATTACAAATTATATATTAAAACTGAACGGCCATTATGTGAGATATTTTATAATAGAAAGATATACGTATAAATATCACATATATACTTTATGTATATACATATTATATAAAGTATAGAATATATATTGCTTTTGCAAAATAGGGGAAATGGTAATTTTTTTTATGTATTTGTATTATTGTGTCATTACATCATATACAAATACAAAGGGAATAATTATATTCAACGGACAATAGTGAAAAGAAAATATAATACTCATTGCAAAGTACTGTATATTTAGAACTCGTTTGTATAACGATATTCTATGTTGTACTTGCAACTATTGACTTATTTCTTTGTAATTTTTGTCACGAATTAGTCTTATGTAAGAGGATAATATATAAGAATTTATTTCATTTTAATACGTATATTCTTCATTAAATTAATTTTTTTTTCTAACATACCAATTGTCCTATTTTCAAACATATACATGTAATATTATATAACAAAATAATTTTGAATTATACTCTTATTATCTTCTCGTAAAAATCTAATGTTTTAGGCCTAATACTGTTTTCTAGCTAATAGTTAAGATGTTGAGTAAGATTTTAATAACTGAATCATTTAGAAGAGAATTATGATAATAAGACTAAATAAGGATAAAATTTGCATTTATCTCACATAAACAAAATTATGAATTATATTCATTTAATCAGTAGATTGCTATATATACAATACACATATATTGCATATATTGTATATACCAGAAATAAGTTCTCAAAGAGTGCTTTACATCAAACAAGTCAATGATTATCATTATTCAGTAAGACAAATTTAATCGTGATAATCTTGTATTTTATATGTATCACTTAAATTTGCGTATAAAAATTTGCACTGCCCAATTTTGACTAGTTCATAAAAATTTTAATATTTTATTAGCTCTGGTATCTAAGTTTGCCAGCTACGATATCAATTTCTTTCTTTTTTTTTTTTTTTTTTCTAAAAATGTCAATAAAGTGAAAATTTGTTTTTTCACGAAAAGACGACAAAGAAACTTTAATATATTTGAAAAAATTATAAAGAAATTATAAAATTGCATTTATACGCATATTAATATGTAGTATTAATTATTAAGTACTGTTCAATGTAGAAGAGTTATGATAATGATAAATCTATTTATCAAACTGATGTAAGCTTGTCAGAGATATATATATATATATAAATTATTTCATAATAATTTTAACAGTATTCAAATTATAAAAGAAATATCAATACAACTTGTATGGTAAAAATTGAGCACGGTAATCATTAGTTCTTTCATGAAAAGATATGCTCTATTATACATTACACATAAGCACATACATAGTAACAAATTCAAAAGATACATTATAAATAAGATTTCTAGATTATATAATTCATGTATATGTATATTTATAGATTATGTGTAATAATAATTAGTATAAAATTCGGTTTTGAATACTTTCTTTCGTATACAAAAATAAAATGCAAGTTTTACTAATACTAGCGCTCAGTTTAATATTAAGCAAGTGTGATGTTAAACGTCGCCAAAATAGGAAGAAAATAACTCTTATGTAAATAAAAATTGTTACAATAATGAAATGTAATTTTAACTGCCTGATAAAAATGGTACTTAATATTAATAATACTGTATTGGACCAATGCATGCGAAGTATTTGAAAATCAACAAATAATTGGCCATAATAGAATAAGTGCTCTATATGTAAAGATATTTTCTGAAGAATTGAGTTAAATAATAAATTATATCTGATAACATAAAAGAGAGTTATTTCTGCTTTGGCATAATTCACATATATTTTAAAGTAATTGTTTAAATGGCATTAAATCATTCAATTTTGTTATGCACTAATACTTTTGAAAATCGTGTCGCATCTCGTAAACATAAAATTAATTAGAATTATACAAAAATAATTATTTCATGTTACATATGTTTGATAATATATATTGTTGTTTAGAAAACAAAGTTGTGTGTGTATATATATATATAAAATATATATATATATTTTTTAGTTCCTAAGATTAATTATTAATTATTATAATATATAATGTAAAATAAAACGCAAAAACGTTTTAAAAGTATTGAAAAGTCCTATATCCTATTATTGAAATAATTATAAACAATATAACATAAAAAAATAAATTTTTTAAATATCACATTTATTTTGTAAATAAATATTTTTTGTTTTTATGTATACACTATACATATATATGTATATATACATATACACTCACAGGCAAAAATAACGGACTATACTAAATTTTAGCACAAATTTTTAATATTTTCAAACAGCGATAACTTAGTGAAAAATTATCGTAGCAAAATGTTTAAAAAAGCATTTTAAAGCTTAAAATCTCTACTTTTTAGATCGATACTTAAAAAAATGATCGAACTGACATTATGTGAAGTTACACAAAATAAATGAAGACGCATAAAATCTCAAAATTTTTTAAGAAATTTGTAAAATGTAGATTGTAATAAGGCTCAATAAATTTATAACTAATAAAGAGAAACAGGGTTACGAGCCAATAATTCGTTTAATTCTTTAATTTATTCTAATATATTGCAAAGAATATCATCTAATTTTGGCGTTTCGTTACTGGACTCATCAATAAGACGTCAGTAAGTGCGTAATTTTCAATTAGCGCCGTGGAACTTTGCAAATTTCGTAAAAAATTTTGAGATTTTATGCATCTTCTATATATTTGTGTATTTTTACATATCAGTGCGACTGTTTTTTAAGTACCGATCTGAAAAATAGAGATTTCAAGCTTTAAAATGTTTTTTTTTAAACATCTCGCTACAATGATTTTTCACTGAGTTATCGCTATTTAAAAATATTAAAAATTTATGTTGAAATTTAGTGGTCCGTTTTTTTACCTGTCAGTGTATATAATTTAATACAAATGTTATAAACGTACAATTATAGTTTCAGTTCTTTATTTTACAAACAAAATTTATTTAGCAAACTTTCCTAAATATCGTAGTTCATGGCACAGCCAAATTATAGTACTTAAAAGTATAAGACTACCAGATTGATGTGATGCAGCTAACGTTACAGGAACATGATATAATAAAGTTGAAATGCCTAAAAGTACTTGAAGATAAGCGGCACAAAGTACCGCAGTCACAGCTTTTTTTCCTCGATTAGGAAGTTTATGTTTACGAGACAAAATACCCAAACAAGTTATCAATGCTATGGTGGTGATTCCCTGCATAAATAATGTACACATGAAATAACATAACATGCTTAATGACTATATGTATAGCTTACCAAAATTCTATGATCAAATTGAACTGTAGTTGGATTTTCCGTGAAATTTTTTAATACTGGAGATATGGCAAGTATATCATCAGGTATCCACTTATTTGCCATTTTTGGAAAAGTGTTGTAAATAAGACCAGCATCCATTCCAGCTACAAATGCTCCTGATAAAGCAGTAAGAAATACCAGCCCTTTCGTCGAATGAATTAATCCTTTAAACCTTTTCAGTGCTTTCAGTGTATTATTTGCAATTGTAGTATCAGACAAATTAACAGTTATCCTTTGAGCAGGAATCAGATGATCCAAAGCATTATAAAGAAATCCAGTATACAAGAGCAACGCTAACCCGAGATGTGCAGCTAAACGATATTGCGACACTCGCGGTATATCAGAAGGTTCTATGAAGCGATCTTCTAATCCAGATTTAACCATATACCATCCTATGAGTCCTTGCAGACCAATTAGTGATCCTAAGGCAACAACACGTGTTTTCATTCCATGTCTTAGCATACCCTTATACCAAAAATATGTTACTGGAATTATAAATACAGCGCCAATCAAACGGCCCCACATTCTATGTAAATATTCCATCCACCAAATACGTTTAAATTCTTCCAACGTCATACTGTGGTTGATTCTACAGTAAAATTAATATAGCATATATATATTTCCATATATTAATTTTTTCACATTATCAATATATTATTTCTTACATTTTATATTCAGGAAATTGTTTATAACGCTCAAATTCTAAAAGCCATTGAGTCTCATTAAGAGGCATTTTTTCTCCTAGCAATTTCCAGGTAACCATAGACAAGCCTGATTCAGTGAGTCTTGTTATACCACCTAAATACATAGAAGGAGAAATAATCTTTGATTGTTTTATATAAATATATTTTATTTATCTTAACAAGTACTCTTAGTGTCTATTATATAATTAAATATTACATAAATTTGAATTGCACATGTAGGTACTCTATTAGTTTATAGAGATGTGAGAAAAATATTAATTCGAAATTCTATTTTCCATATGTCTTTTCTATAATACTCTTAATTATGATACAAATGTAGTGATAATATACAAAATAGATAAGAGTACCTAATGCAACAGCTACAAAAACCATGCCGCCGCAGGTGAGCAACCAAGATCCTACGATTTTGTCATGTTTACAGCTTGGTTTTGAGGCATAATTACGAGTTATGACATTCACTTGTTTAAGTGGTTTCTGTCAATCATTAAAATTAGTTTATTATTAAACGTTGTTCAGCTCATGAAAATCACTCAGTATTGTTAGATGTGCAATTTCACCCTGGAACGTCCGTTTACCTCTTGTAACAGGAATTTTGAACAGTATTCCTTCAAAGAAATATTATTACATCGCTCAACAGCAGCTCTTGCATTGGTAAACAAGTATTGTCTGTTAAGTATACGTCTCGTAGCATTATACGCTCCTAATACTTTTGTATGATACCTCACGATATTTGACATACTGCAATCAAAATATAAGAATCGATGAACATCAAGCGAACATTGATAAACGTCTTCTTCTTGTTCTTCTTTAATTTATGGCACCCGAACAGTAAATAAGAGGTCGATACGCAGATCACGTCCCAAATGAAAGTAAAAATTTTAGTAAAAATGTAAAGCTTAATAATAGAAGCAATAGATTGCCGTGCAAAGCGGAGCGTCCACCGTGGAGCAAAATGCACACACGAAATAACCTCGCGACGCGACAGAGTGCCAAATGTCTTCTTTTTCTTCTTAGTTAATGACTTCTTGGAGTAAGCGGAGGCAATATACGGCCAGATCACGTCTAATTATATTGCAGGAATTTAATAGATAATATACTGATAAGCATAAACTAATTTCGGCGCGATGAAAACTTCGTCTCGATTCACACCATGGTGGTAGTTGGAGCTACGATCGCAGCTGATACGCTATCGATCATATCCGATTCACCCCGACTCTACACGAATATGACGTAACTTGAACAAAATACGGCAATTGGTGAGAAATTCCTTGAGAGAGAGAATGCGCAGTGATTTGACACGAAACGAGCATACCCTTGTCTTTATACCATAACTGCTTATACCATGCTCTAGAGTCTAGTTCACTCTGGTTGCTTTCTTTATCAAGATTCGAGCATGTGCTAAATGTTTCGTATATGCAACATTTTTTGGTGTTATGGCTTCGTTCTCGAATTTTGATTTAAAAGAACGATTAGATATTAGTTTGAAAGATACAGCAGCTTTAAGTTCACTATGTAGAAATACAGCTTCTGGTATGTGTACCTTAAAAATTTTTTTTGGAAATTAATTTTTTGTGACTTGTGTTACAAATATTACAAACTTAGTAATGAGAGATATAAACCTTAAATTTTTACGTTCAAATACTTTTCAAGGCCAAATAACGTACTTAGATCTTTTAATTTTATCATTTCTCCAACTTAGAGAAATGTAGTAATAATTTCAAGTTATATATATTTACGTAAATGTGATTCTTCTTATTAGAACTTGTTAGATCTCTTGATATAATAAGTATACTGAAATGCATAAATTTTATTATGTAGTTATGAAAATATTAATCTAAAATTATATTATATAGAAGATACTAAATGTTTTGTTTCAGAAATACAATCAGGTTCTATAAAACTGTATACATTTGTTGAGTTACTAGGTTCATATTTGACAGACCATAATGTTCTTACGAGAGAAAGAGGAGTTACAGCTCTTTCATCGGTTTTATCACAATTACCCCAAGATTATCTTACTGAATCAGAATTGTGTTTTATTACAACATTTTATTGTGACAGAATGAAGGATCATTACAGCATTATACCATCTATGTTAAATGGTATTCAGGCAATTGTAAGCACTTGTTTAAGGAGCATTCTTATCTCTTGCATCATTTTTCACTTTTATTAATTTTTTATAAATTTTTTTCTAGATAAACATGGTTCATTTACCGCAGAATGCATTGTTATCCTTATTAAGAGCTATGTTTGAACATGTTCAATGTCAATCTCAACTGTTACCTGAACGTCGCAAAATATACTTAGTACTTAAAAATTTGATAGAAAACAGATTAAATAATTTGAAATCTATGGGACCAGATTTAGTTTATGGTATTATCAGCTCTATAGATGGTGAAAGAGACGCAAATAACCTTATATTATTGTTTACTATACTACCACATTTTATAAAAGAATTTCCATTAGGTCATTTAACTGAAGAAATGTTTGAGGTTATGGCATGTTATTTTCCAGTTGATTTTAATCCTGTAATTATATTATTAAATTATTTTTCTGTCCTGTTTTTTTATGTAACATTTGAATATTTATAATTTATAAATGTTTTATACACAGTCTGGCACAGAGGATCTAAATGTAACAAGAGAAGATTTAGCAGAAAAATTAGCACCCTGCTTATGCGCCGTTCCAGAGTTTGCAGATTATTGCTTACCTCTTATAATTGATAAATCATATTCTACTCTCAAAGTTGCTAAACTTGATTCTATAAATTTACTCCATGAAAGTGTTCAAATATTTGGATTGTCAAAAATAAAATCATATTTACCGGATCTATGGACAACTTTAAAAAAAGAAATAATACCAGGAAGAGACATTGAACTAAGAGACTCTGCTTTACAAGCAATAACATCTTTAATTAAAGTTATATCAGTTGATAAAACTGTTTGCAAGAATTTTATTGACAACATAATAACTGACACAAAATCGTCGTTATGCGATGTGCAACTTAGTTTGTATAGACCTGTCCAAATACTACTGGAAACAATAGCTGCAATTAATAAAACAACATGTGTACAAATATTGCAAATTGTAATACCTTTATGTATTGGACAATATTCTACAAAGAATTCATTAAACGATAAAATTGCATTGATAGAAACATTAAACAATTTGATGGAAATATGTTCTCGTCATGATTTTTGCTTTCAAGGTAAATTAAAATATCTTATTATTGCTCATTGAACTGTAATACAATAATATGATGTCTTTTATATATGTAATATATAAATATAATGAAATGTAATTTAGATGTTCCAGAATTATCATGGACAAATATACCTCAAACATATTTAGATAGTTTAACAGTAGAAAATATTGAATTAAAAAGTAAAATATTCTTTGGTTTAACGATCCAAAAGGCACATTTAAACGATATACAACGCTCTGTATTATATAATGCGATATGTAATGAAATTGAAACAGGATGTGATAAAATTCAAATTATATGTCATACAACTATTACAGATTTTGCAACGTTGTATCTTGAAGAAATAGTAATGTTAGTTAAAGAAAGATTGTTATCAAACATAGGTAAGTTAAATACGCATATACAGTTGATGTAAACTTACTGTCAATGCATAAAAGTGATATTAATGAAATGTTTCAGACGAAATGGAAGTAGAATTATTGAAACGTAGAATAAAAGTTTTATCAGCTATTGCAAAAATACCTGAATTAGGTTATATAATACTTCCGAAAATTGTTACAATATTAACAACGGACGCTGTTAATACTGATATATGTACTACAGTATTACTAAATATCCAGAAGTTAATTGCTTTAAAGAAATCTGATTATAAAATACATCAGTTTCTTTATAAGGAATGCCATATTATCGATAAACTAATTTTATATGAGACAAATATTGTCGATCATAAAATGTTGATATCAAACATCTGCCAGTTAATTGTGCGAAATCTTACAATCGAAGAACAACATGCAATTGTAGCAAAATATGCTACAGCTTTAGATACAAAGATTCCTGAAACTGACGTAATTATATTGATGAATCTTTTTACTTCTTTACGAAAAGATATTGATTTGAACCTAAATAATAATATGGTGGAAAATCTGTATAATCTTGCAACTAGTAATTGCGATCTGGATATAAGACAAATAAGCTGTAAATTTTTATCTGTATTATTAAATAAAATGAAAGTGTCAGATCTTGACAGAATTGTATCTTATCTAGAAAATAAAATAAATAACAATTTAAGTGTGGACAATGATATTGATTTGAAACAACATATAGTTAACTTTCAAATTTGGATGACTAAAGCACTCGTCATGAGAGGATACGCAAAGTCTCAATATTTTCTAGAAAATGTATGTATATGATTTAAATTATAATAATTTAATACTCGGTTATAATATAAATAATATAGATATTTAAATAATATAAAATTTGTTATAAATAATATAGATAAAATAATATTTTGTATTTGTTTTTACAGCTTACACTCTTATTAACTCATGATGAAATAGGTCAAATTGTAGGTGAACAATATCAAATTTTAGTAAGTAAATATGAAGATATTTTGATAACGGAAAATTTTTGCGATGTAAAAATTTTTTATAAACAAAGAGTGTTCGAATATTTGTTGCGACAAAATATTAATTTTACAAGTACAAAGAGACAGAGTTATCTTATTGCTTTGGTAAATTTACTAGAACAAATACCTGAAGAGTTATTGTTTCTACATTTAACTGAGGTAAGTTTTCATGACACATTAATGATAAAAATATTATCTTGCGATAAAAAGATTTTAAATAATGTATTATGTTGTTAGTTAGTACCGCTGTTGATCGAGTCTCTATCTCTTAGCAATGAACATTTAGTACTCTGGGCATTGAAATCATTTAAACTATTACTTGACACCAAACACGATGTATTTTCTGATAAATTACAATGTGTTATACCAAGACTTATGCAATTATCACTGCATCGAATCATGGTAATTATTTAGATTAATATTTTAATTGTTCCAACTTTCACTGCATCATTATATAAATCAATACTTATATTGATAGGGTATTAGAATTGCGGTTTTAGAATGTCTAGCGCATTATGCTAACTATCCCACTATTCTAATCAATCCATACAAACAAACTGTATTAGACAAATTGGGAGTAATAATCGATGATCGTAAACGTTTAGTAAGAAAGGCTGCAGTGAATGCAAGAACACGATGGTACTTAGTGGGTGCACCTGGAGAACAGTCAAAGGAATGAAGGAATGAATATTGTAGTTCGACTTTTATGTACATATATATTAAAGCGATTTTATATTTTTTGCCTTTACATACATTTTCGAAAAATGTAAATTTCTTATTAAATATTAACATGTTATATCTGTAAATTTGTATATGGTTATTTTTATTTACGTATCTCTAATGCGTAGTATTTTCCCGAGCGTCTCTCAGGGTTTCCCCAATGTCTGTGTTTATCCCAGATATCTTCTTTAATTGAATAAAGAATTGATTTTTGTATAAGTGGATTAAAATCGCAGCTAACTTAGATGCGTTCAGTACAGTGCCAAACATGGGCGATGGTAAGAATAAGTAATTTGTAACATTTACTTCATTTGTTTTAATATATAAATAGAAATCTCTTGTATTTAATTGAATTATTATCATCAATTATACTTGAAATGTTGAGAAGAAAAGGCATTTTTTTTATTGAATAGAATATTTGATTTTCTTATTTTAAATACTTGTGTACGTGCGTCTATATAGGTATGGCAAAAAATGGTGCATACAAATATGATGACGGTACAAAATATATTGGCGATTGGAATCGTAGGGGTTTAAAACATGGTGCTGGTCTATTAGTCCTTCCGGATGGAACGCGGTACGATGGAGCATTTCAAAATGGATTGTGTTCTGGCTTGGGAGTGATTGTGTTTCCCGACGGAGCGAAGTAAGTTTTATGCAGCAAGTTTACTTCGAAATTACGCATTTCACTCAGAAATGTCGTCCTATATATATATTTGTACAAGACCATTCTCTTTTTCTTAGGTATGAGGGAGAATTTATGCAAGGATGGTTTCACGGCCATGGTGTGTTCTGGCGTGCCGATGGAATGAAATTTGAAGGGGAATTTCGTGGAGGTCGTGTTTGGGGCTTAGGTATATACACATAATTCAGTTGATTATTATCAATTTAGTATTGATTGCTTCACAGTTTTGCAAAGCGCTGCAACTGTTCCAACTATCGAACTAAAATTTACATAATTTTTAATTGTAATTCAAATGTAAATTATTGTTATATATTTTTTATTCGTTAATCACAGGTTTAGTGACTTATGCTGATGGATCGCATGGATTTCCGCGGAACGAAGGATTTTTTCAAGATTGTAGATTAGTAAGGCGACGACGTTGTCCTGATATAGTGCAAAAGGCGCAAAAAATTTCTATGATGGCACGTGCTCAATGTTGTTAGAAAATAGAATAAATTGTAGATGTATAACTAATAAAAAAAAAAACATACGTAATCTTCATTCATCAGTTTATATCTTTCTACAATCATTGGAATACTTTTAATGACCAATAAAATCTGTATTATACAATATTTGGATAAATCTTTTTATTAATATTTATTTTATTATGTATGTTACATATTTAAATCTTCTTTGCATTATTCACTCACAAACAAAATTTCTCATGTCAAAAGTATATCAAGAATTTATACAGAATTGGAAAAAGAAATGTACAGATTTATCTTTATTTACTTAAAATTAAGATACTGATAATGTCAATGATACCAGTTTCCTGAATACAGAATGAAATAATAATTGTAACGAGTTACGCCCCAAAAGAAAAAGTTCGAGAGGGAGCACAAGGCTAGACTACTTTTCGCTCAGAGGCGTGGCCAAGCCGGATGTTCCAGTTTTGAAGACGAAGGTGCGGCACCAATCGACACATAAAATTCGCACATATGCTATTTGATATAACAATATATGAAAATTGAAATGTTAGATTTGTAAATACTAAATTAAAAGCAAAATAAGAAAGGCTATCCGAATTCTCCATATATTACTTTTCTTTACTTCTTTTGCTTATATTTTATTTGCGAGAATATAAAGATGTGTGTGTGTGTGTGTGTGTGTATATATATATATATGTATTAAAGTAGTTAAAAAAATTTAAAATATTTTTTTCAACCGCCTTATTGAAAACACTTATTCGTTAAAACTGTTAAAAGTAGTCATTGTTATTTAAAAAGATATGTAGCTAGAGGTCGCACAAATCGCATTTGTAATTAAAATTAATGTTTTCCAATTTTTTAATTTTTTTAGAAGGCATATATTACACTTTTTGCAAGTTTCAATACATTGTTTCAACAATGTAAAGTTATGGTTGAAATAATTATGGTATAATTTAATGTATATTTTCTCACATTCAGTGAGCTGGCAAGTACACAAAAAAAAATTTTTTATATGCGTGATTTTTTTGTAGATATTCCTTAGCAAGTATGTGTTTGATTGATACTCGGAGAAAAAAATATTAATATGAAAAAGAATAGAAAAAGTATTATTAAAAAGAAAAAGTATTATCAATATATACATATAAATTATTAAAAAATTGAAAAATTTGATACTATTTGTGTAAATACATTCCAAATCTATCAAAGCATATTTTTATATTTAAGTTATACAAGTTAACAATATTTATTTATAAGAACTAGCTGTTCTTATACAATTTGAAAAATATTGTAGATGATTATACGTATACACGTTATACAATATTTACTTCAATATGGAGTATTTTGCAATTTCGTGTATTAAAATACGATAAACGCAAAAATCACACGTTATTTAGTGAAAAGTCGGAACTGCATATGCGTAATTTGACTTTACACTAAATAACGTGACTTTATAGCGTTTATCGTATCTGTAAACGGTTCAGACATATTCTAATGGACTCTTCAGATTCAAAACATGAATTCCGCATCGAGGGCGAATGAGAGCGCAGCATTGTAATTGGTACGCAAATTAATGAATGGATTTGTGTCACATAAATCCTTTATTCCATATCAAATATCAAAAACATGATATAGAACGTTTTAACTCGCTTTGGTATCATCCTCAGCTAATACAAATTTAATATTCTTCCTTTGTATTAATTATTGGAGTCACATCAGATTTACAGATTTGATGTTGAAACCTCTGTCAAAATTAACAAAGCAGTAAATAAATGTAATTTAATTAACTGTTAAAAAATAAAATTAACAAATGACTCATCTTACACTAATAAAAAGAAAATGCCTTGAAACATTGGATTGTTCCTATGTTTGAAACGTTCTATGTTTTTTTATATTTGATATGGAATAAAGGATTTATGTGACACAAATCCATTTATTATTAATATGCGTACCAATTACGCGTTGCACTCATTTGTCCTCACAATTACTGGAATTCATGTTTTGTACACACGATATATTGCAAAAACTCGACCCTATAATATCCTATATTCAGATGCGCGATAAACGCTAAAATCACGATATTTAGTGGAAAGTTGAAACAAACTCATATATGCACACAATAAACACAAATGTTCTACTTACTACTAAAATTTTAGTATTTACTAGCTATATATGAAATTTTTGTAATACACGGTATTGCAAAAAAACTCCCTAATTTTTGTTTAAAAAGTTCTTATAAAATATATTTATTGTATAATATAAATATAAAAATAATATACTTTAAATAGATTTTAAATGTATTTAATTATCTTCTCAATCAGTACACAATGATAAAAATATTTTTTAAATGTTTATTTAATAATTTTTCATTAAATAAATTAAAAAGATTTTTTAAATATTGTGTATGTTGATTGGGCTCTTAATTCAAATCCACAAATAATATAGATATCAAATATTTCGATTTTATTTTTTAATAATTCATATATATGATATATAATATTTATATATATAATAATGTACACAATAAATGTTTTCTTTGAGTAAGCAATCGAACATATAAAAAAAATATATCTATATATATATTGTACAAAAAGTTACGCAGAATTATTTTTTCGCATTTACCAGCTCACTGAATTTGAAGATAAACAATAAATTATACTTTCAATCGTGTATACAGACACACAATTAGCTTTATTTTATTTCGAAAAATAATAATATAGACACAGTACATAATATATTTACAAAATATTTGTAAATATTTGTAAGACTTATTTTAAATATTTTGTAAATTTTTTTTTTAAAGTTTTTGTACTCTATAGATTGCACAGAGCATATAAACTTTATTATAAATATTATAAAATATGTATTGTAAATGTTTTAGTAAATGTATGTGCTATAAATAAGATACTCATTAAAATATTATAATTGAAATAAAGCTAACATATTAAAAATATTTATTTATATTTATCATAAATATTTAGTCTAAATTTCAATAATTTAAATAAATCTTTATATAACATATATATATAAAATATTTATATAACATTTCAAAAAATGGTTAGTAATATAAAATATTTATTATAAATATACTTTTGTGCTGTCTGAGAAGTTCCTGAGACATAATTTTGCATTGTTGTGTGAGGAACTTGTAAAAAATGTGCATTCCTTTTAGAAAAAAACTGAGAAACATTAATTTTCATCACAAATGCGATTTGCACGATCTCTACATATTATTAAAAATTTTTTTTTAAATAAGAATAATTATTTTTAAAAATAAATACAAATAAAACAAAGCTCTCGATGTCAAAATAATAATAAAGATAACGTAAAGGGCAGATCCGAGAATTGTTATTATATAGAATTAAGAAATTAATACAATTAAAAAATTAGAAGTATTAAAACAAATCAAACTGCATACATAACGTATCATATAAGATATGCTATAGATAAAAGATATGCATAAAATATCTTATGATGCGTTATGTATGCAGTTTGATTTGTTTTAATTAGGCTTTTAATTTTTTAATTATATTAATTTCTTAATTCTATATAAAGACAACTCTCGAATCTGCTCTTTACATTATCCTTATTATTGATTATTTTTAACCATAAGGAATAAGTAATTTCAATAAATGCGGCGCTGCTGAAAAAAAATTATATTTCAGATTTTGTTAATATCGTCCTAATATACATATACATATACTACATAAAATTTATTTTGTCTTTTTTCTTATAAAAAATAAGAAAATTCGAATTCTACTCCTTTTTTCATTTAGAGTAAATTTCTGATTGGTTGAACGAATTTTATTGTGCATCATTGAAATTGTTTAGGTCTTTTATTCAGATTTTTTAATACCATGTTCAAATTGCGTGAATATTTAGAAATTCAAAGCATTGCCATTAAATAATGATTTTAAAATTTATAAAATTTAGATAGTGTTTAGAGATGAAGATATATAGGATAATTATATAACATTATTTCGCATTATCTTATATGCAAGAGAAAACATACCCACATATTTTTAATACTTATAAATATCATCGGAAGGGCATAACGATTTAACGGGGAGCAAGACGTTCGGAGGATGGCGCAATATTAAAAACATCCTTGACCCTATATCCCACCATGGCAAACTGAGGGTACCGAAAGATTTCGTGTGTGGCTCGTCGTTTGTCCGCCAAGTATAAAAGTACCGATTGTCACGGATTGTAGCATTCGTATTTCAGTTCAGACACGATTGAAGTCATCGCAGGATCTTCCCCGCATATATAGCATAATGGCAGCTAAGGTACGGATATATATACAAATCAATTGCAATCAGATATTATCTAATATATAGGAACAAGAATAAATCTGTGCTCTTAAAGTTACAAGTCTCCTCTCTCATGATCATGGAAATTCTGTTTTAGCTATTCGTAATCTTCTGCGTTTTGGCTGCGGCCAACGCCGGCTATATTGGACTGCCATCCGCCCTGCAGTATCATTACGAACCGATAGCGCACGTTCAACCCGCTATCACGTCGACGTCCGACAATATATTACGTAGCCCTGGCAATCTGGCGCAAGTGGCCACGCAAACCAAAACCATCGACACACCTTTCTCTAGCTCGAGCAAGGCTGATATCCGCGTAACTAATCCTGCTGTTACCACCTATGCTCATCTTGCTCATCCAGCCCCGTTGACTTACGCTGCAGCCGCTATACCAGCAGCAGTACGCCCGGCTGCTCTTGGAGTCGCTTACTCCCCGGCCGTGGAGGTATCTCATATGAGCTACAGCAGCCCGATTGGAATTGCCTACGCTTACTAAATCGATCACACTCGCGTGAATTTTTATGATATATATATGTATATTATATATTTATTCAAAAACCTTCGATACCTGTAACTATGTATACTTCTGTATGTGGCAAATTAACGATCACACTACAATGTAAGTAGTTACGCAATAAAGATCTATAATCTATAATCAAAGTTTCATTTTTTAACAATTAAGTAATCCTTTTCGTTTCTTAAGAGATTGAATAATTAATTAAGAATTATAAAAGATGTAGGACGAAGTTAATTATTTTATTTGAGGGGAAGGATGTAATTTGTAAGAAAGACGCTGGGGGTAAAAATGCTTAACTGTGTGAGAGAACACATTCAAGTTTTTTTTTTATGTGAAAGTTTATTATTATTTCATGTTTTTTTTTTTTGTCGCGGCGCTTATCAACAATTTGTCAACAATTTCAAATGGGAAGGAGGAAAGATGTTCTAATAGAAAAAGAAAAGAATTTTGCGAATATCGAATTCAGGGAGAATTGCGAAATCAACAAATAATTTGTATGTATCCGATATTAAAGGCGAAGTACATTCTGCGATGTGTATAGTGATGGGGTAGTGGCGAGTTTTTTATCAATATAAAAGAGATTTAGCCTAACTTAAGTCCTAATCCAAGGGGAGCGCCACCCCATCCAGCACCACCCCATCCGCCGGCACCATTCCAACCAGCACCACCCCATCCAGCACCACCCCATCCGGCACCACCCCATCCGGCACCACCCCAGGCAGGAGCAGCCCACGCAGCTGAAACAGATTTTGTGAATGTTAGATTATAAGTAGAAAAAGATGGAAAAAAAACATTTCGCATCCTCTAACGATCTAATTATCCATATAAGGCTATACACTATTCGTGTATATTTGTGATACACGTGATTTTGATAATTCCAAAATTATAAATGTACAGGATGTTAACTTTCTTAATCTTATGTATTATTTTGAATTAAGACTTATCCATACTTTTAGCGGGAGCGATGGCAATTGCTGGTGCGATCGCAGGTGCGATCAAGCCGGCGTAGCAGACATTTACGATGGCCAAGAGGCCGAACACCACCAGGTACTGCAATAAGATTTAAAACGTTTATTTATCTTCAGAAATGAAAAATTTCGGGACTATTATTATATATCTTATTTACTAAAATATTAACTATTATATAGTCATTTAAATTCGTGTTTTTAGATTATCATATCGTGTCCAATTATCTCTCACAAAATAAAAATAGTTTTATGTATATGTTGATAGTCGCGTTCTGTATTTTATGAAATTAAAACTTTAGGAATCATATGAGTTTTTTAATTACATTTTTCTTGCAATTAATACGAATATTATAATTTCAGAAAAGTGTAACAGTTTATAATCTTAACTTGAAGCCTCATTATATATACTTTTATCAATTTCTATAAATTAATGAATATATAAAAATTACGCAAATAATAATAATTAAAATTGTTTCTGTTTTCAAAGCACTTACTTTGAACATGATGATCGTTGTTTTTCTGTTTCCCGTTGAAACACGAAGAACGATTGAATGCTCTGTTTAAATCTAACAGTCTATTTATACGTGCTGAAGAAAACCTGTCCAGTGTGCGTGGTGCATTTTTTCCAAAAACTAATTCTTGTTGTTGTACTACGTACGAATGCCACTGTTCATAGTAAGGCGTTATTGCATCATATAGATATAAAATTTTATATCTCGTTAAGAGCTATGAATATATTTTACGCCTTCAATGATTAGGGTTAAGGTTTTAATATTGTTGCCGTGCTATAAATCGTATGTAATTATAACATTAGAAGCGCAAGATCGTGTGAATTCTTTTCCTGCATATACGTATAATAGACGTGAAAATAAATAGCTCGCTATTTATATGTCAACATTTACATTTCGTAGTACAGATTATTAAAAATAAATGATGATCGAATTGCAAGTAGACTATGTATTTTTAAAAATTGTTTTGGAATTTTCGAGCTCGAGTGATCGATTTATTCATTTTATTTATTTAAGTGATGGCGTATTAAAAAGTAAAAACTTTTTTACACGCCATTACTTTATGCATACAATTCTTCTCTAGTGTTCAAACAATGCTTTACATTCATTTTTTTAATCAGCAAATATAATTGTGTGTGTTACATATATATATATATAGTATAATATTTAAAATAATATAATTATATAAATAAAAGAAATTCATAATGCAAATGAGTATCAATAAACGTGAATTCTATTTCATGTCATGCTTACCTATACACTTATATACTAAAGCATAAACATATAACTTGATTTTTCATGTCACTTTGAATTTATATGCAATATCGTGCGTATTTCGTACTTCGTGTTATGAATATTGCATCACGTGGACTACAGTAGTGGGTACCAATCTCCTCATTTACGATTGTCTGATGCAAGCTTACGTCAAGTTGCACCGGAGCCGTCTCTTTATTGACGTACATTATAGCGGCAACTTGTGTTTAGTTGATTTTCTTTAGTTACTGCTTGTGTGTGAAAACGAAGCACGTTACAAGATATCTCTTCAATTTCAAATTAGTTTTAAAAATAATATTATATAGCTTGTGGTGTTTTCCTAGAATCCAGAAAATATCTTCTCGTACAAATAAATTTTCGTAAATTTTTGGAAATTCCAATTGTAAGCAAAATTGTCTCCAAATATACAGTGAATAAATTGTTTAATATTAAAGAATGCGTAAAAGAGTTAATCAAACGTACTTAAAATTTTAATTTTAAAAGACGAAATTGTATTCTCTAAAATTAAATAGTAAATGATTTCTGCTAACAATTTTAATAGACAAAAGATGGCAGCACGAAATTTATGTAAAAATATTCAGAAGTTTTTGTTATGCGGACTTCTTTTTAATTCTTAGTATACAAAACATATAACGCTTCAATTTTAATCGATCAATCACTGTTGTTGGGCGAACAATTATGTTGCATATACAACCTGTGATTTTTGTAAAGAAAGTAACTGACTGACTTCCATAACTTTTAAGAGCGGTAACTTGCGTAATTTATGACCTTGCACAAGATACATTTGAACCATGCTCCTGTAAAAAAAAAACGGTGAAGGTGACCTACATATATGTGTCTGTACGACATAATGAGGCTGAGAATTGTGTGGAATTGGACCACGCCCTCTTATCATATCAATTTTATATGTATAAATTAATAAGAATTTTACAAAATTTATTTAATAATTTTTATAAAGTTTTATATTTATATCAATATTACAAAATTTGTCTAAAAAAGTTTTTGAGAAGGATAAGAGAATTTATGTAATATTTACTAACAATTTTTCTATCCAGTTAACATAAATTTATGAAATAATCTAAACAAAGATAAAGAGAAATGAAATACAGATTACTATATTTCAAAATGTTCGTTCCCTATTACAAAAATATCAGATTTGTATTGAAATAAAAGATAATTATTTTTCTTAATTTATCTTAACTATTAATTTATAAATTACACTGATTATTAGAGTTTCTAACTAAGTTCATATTATCATATATTAATTATATTTTATTATTGAGACATACAAGAAAACAATAAAGCAACAATTAAGTTACGTACAAAAACCCCTTGTAGATTCATATAGGATTAAGATAAAAAAAGATTAAAAAGACAAAAATTACTATAAAATAAAATATAAATTCGGGCTCTCGATAATAATAATAAAAAACATTAAATATTGAGCAATTGAGCTAACAACGCGGTGCCAAATAGCTGAAGAACAGTTACATTCTTCAAATTTGATAATTTGTTGGGACTATCCTTGCTCTTTGATTGATCATTTTGCGATTTTTTATTGTACCGAACTACGAAATGTTGATTTTAATATCGCTGAAGATAGCTCCAACAGAGCCGCAATTTTCGATTATTTATTATGTAAAATCTTTAAATATACAGTTTTTATTATTATGCACGAATTACCGCATTGTTAGTGCTCTCAACTGATCGATGTTCAATGATTTATTATTGTTGTAAAAACTACTAATACTATATTCTTATAAAATTTTTTTTATTAATTATCTCTAAACTCTATTTAGATTATAAACAATTGATAGTATTTGAGATTATTACTAATATTATTGTAATATATGTTTGCTTAGTTCATAAAATAAAATTAGAATTAAATAATGTATTTATTAACATAAAATTCGTAGAATTTATAATATATAGTCTTTGTAATTAAAAATAAGATTTATAATATACAGTTATCAATACAACAAATAATAGAGCATAAATTTTGTTCTAATGATCTTTCACTTTAATGATCTTTATTAATATTTTACACATTATTGTGTACATTTATTTGTAAATGTAATATATATGTACTTATCTATAATATAGCTCTTACAAATAAAATTTTCTCTATTCTAAGGTCTTCTTTCAGGACAATCACTTTCTTCTAAATTGTCCTTCTGTGTTATTCCTTTAGTATATACATTTGCTCAGATTAAAGTATTAAAAGGAATGAAAGATGGAAGACATGATATTTTCATTTTGTAAATCAGAATAAAAATAAAAATTTTTAGAAAGAAAAATGAAACATTTGTGATTCCAATAATCTTAAAATAGAGAAAATTAACTATATTTGCTACAGAAAGAATATTCATAATACAAACATATCTGAGCATTTCAAGATAAACAAATATAGCTCTATTCATGTTACATCCTTTTTTCTTGAGGATAATTTTTTTTTAGGCTAAATTGATATATTATATCTTTTCAATTACTCTTTTGTGGTCTGTCACCAAAAATGGCACTTCCTACTCTTACATTTGTACTGCCAAGTTCAATCTACAATAGTATATAATAAATGCATTTCATATAAGAACATAAGACCTGTGTATATTTTAGTACACTGTTCACAATTGTCTGAAGACCTTACCGCGTGTTCATAATCATTGGACATTCCCATTGATAATTCGATATCTTTTACATCAATTTCCAATTCTTCATGTATCTTTTCTCTGCACTTCATTAAACAAATAAAATCAGGATTTGGTCCGTTCTTAATATCATACCCATACATTCCTATTGTCATAAGACCCATAAAATTCAAATTAGAACAATTCTCTACGATGTGTTTTACAATGGTTGATACTTGCGCAACATCACAACCACTTTTTTCTGTAATTACAATTATTTTTATACAGAGTAATTTAAAATTTATTGAGCTGAGACAATTACTTTATTCTAGTATAATCCTCTCACTTAAGTATAATAAATAATTCATTACCCTTTTCTTGACTTGTGTTAACTTGTACCATGACATTTAACTTGCTGCTACTATCACTATTTCGGAATTTTGGCCACGAATTATTGAGTGCATTTGCAAGTCTTTCACTATAGACAGTTTCTATGACATATAAATTTGGTATACATAAAAGCTTGTTGACTTTATTCCTTTGTAAATTTCCTATAAAATGCCATCGAATTTGTTTACAATTTTTAATAATCAGTGAGCTGAAGGCCTTCTCCATTAGCTCATTTACATAATTTTCACCAAAGTGTCTTTGACCAGCCTCATATGCGGATACTATCGAGTCAGGAGGTTGTAATTTGCTAACAGCTACCAGTCGCGGTTCACAATATTGATATCCCTGCGAGAATGAGATAAATATTTTGATCTATGCGAGCTAACCTTTGCATTGATGGTTCGAAGCGCAGTGTTCTCTATATATAACTATTCAGATCATTAAAAAAATGCACTAAATAGTCGTATACATAAACTTATATATTTAATTAATATTAAATACTCAATGTGCACGGAAAGGAATACCGGTGCTCTTTTCGTAGCAGCATGTGATATCTTATCGCAGATAGATTTCAAATTTGCTGCCACTTCTGCCATACTATATTTAAATATTGTCATAAATTCTTTCTTGATCAGTACTCAACATAAACTTTTCACTGATTTAAGATAATAAAATTGTTCTTTTCTCTTTAATGTGAATTTATCTTTCTCTTCCAATTTATATTTTCTCGAACTCTTAATTGTCTCATGTGTTTAAAAACAATAAAAGTTACGCAAGACAACAATCACATACTGATAAATTTTATGTAAATACTTTGTATTTGTATCACAGATCATATGCTTGTATCATATGTTTTCCAGCCTGGTTTACAACAGTTTACAATGAGTTAACAAACGTTGCGACGTTGCAACAGCCAATCAAAAAGCACGACCAATACTGGTGTTGAGTTGAGTGTAATTGGAAAGCACCTTTATGTTCTAGTATTCCCTAGGATTTCTGCGATTACGCGCAAGCGCCATCAGCAGCTATTTGTGCTATTTTGTCAGCCATTACCGATTGTCATCATGGTATAATCTTATTATTATCAATATTGCGTTTATTCATCGCTATTTCCGTAAAAGTGGCAGATTATAATTATGACAATTATCATTAATATTTTATCTATACGCATTAACGAAAAAGTGAGTATTAATTCATCTCGTATATCTGTTTTCATTGTATATTAATAATAGGATTTTTTTTATTTCTCCTGTATATCCTAAACAATTGCGAACTTGCAGATTAATCGAACGGTAACTTGGTCGAAATTCTAAAATCTGGATTGCTACTACTAATTTTTTGTATTATACAACTGTACAGACAATAGCACGTATACGTATATCGATCTTGCGAGAGATAATATGGATAACAAAGCATCATCTTTTGGCATGTCATTTTATGCATTCGTGTATCAGGAGACACGGTAGTGTCTGCGCTAAGAGCACGCGTAATTATTAATTAACATAAAGAATTCAGGCTTGTTATTTGATTTACAAAATTGCACAAAAATGGGTACTTCGAGGCAGCAGGACAGATCTCTTGGTAGTGGAATTTCATTGCCGCAATGGATGAAAGGAAAAATGGATAACAGGTAGGTTCTGTCTTTATTAAATTTTATCATTGAACATGTTTTTATGAAGATATTTTTATAACGATTACATATCCAAACGATTAGTATAATTATTAGCTGTGACATCAGGATGTTTGAAATTGTTGTATTACATTATATGCATGCATTTGATACTTTGCCAAATTGGCTTAAGTGTTATTTATAGTTAAGCAATATTTGTATATATTTCTATTGGATAGTGTTTCTTATAAAACCATATAGGTATTATTGTTTTATACAAGATGTATGAATGAGATTAAATTCATTTAATTGATAATTATCTGAAGTGCTTATGTTAATAAGCATTAATTAATATGTCAATTGTAATATTTATTGTTTTTTGTTAGTGTAAAGGTTATGGCACTTAATATGATTTTGTTACATCACATGTGATCCGATCAATTATTCAAAATTTGTGTTTTAAGGTTTATTCAGATTCTTATCTGAGCATTTTCCAGGTATCATTTTATCTTTGTTTAGCAGTTAATGAACAAGGCTAATATTTTATTTCTTGTACAACAAATTTTAAGTATTTTTAATTGGCCACAAGACAAAACAATTTCTAGAAACTTAAGAACTTCTCCGTTCTGCAGCCAATAAGCATTCTTGAAAAATTTATTGTATGACAAATAGAATATTAGCTCAAAGGTACATCATTTATGAGTTTTTTAACAATTTTTTTTAGCCTGTTGATCAATTATAAGATAGAGAGATTCGAGAACCTTTCTGTTTTGCAGGCATTTGTTGTGAGACATAAAGAGTATGGTCAACAGTGTTACAAAAGCTCTAAACAATTTTTGATTGGTCAGTTTATAACATTCTTTTTATAATCGGTTAACCAAATGCTTCAAAGCATTTGTAGTAAGATTTTGACCGCAACTAAAAACACAAATAAAATCTCATCCTAACAAAAATAAAATAATATCTGAGAGTAGTTAATGCAATACCACAAATGCTTTGAAACATTTTTTAATTGATCAATATTTGTAAAATTTTTTTCTTTTCATCAGTCAAATACTTCAAAGCATTTGCAGTGAGACTTTAGATCTGTTTTTTATTCTTACACTGTGTATGCTAATTTAGACAATGTAGAAATAAAGAATAGAGCCTAGGTAGCGATCATGTAACTTTTTTTTAGAACGGAAACGTAAAAAGTGAAAATTTTTATGTATATATATATATATATACATATACAAAAAACTTTACTTTTCATGTTTTTACTTTAGGGAAAAAGTTACATGATCGTTATCTTGAGTGGCATTCGGATTGAAATTTTAACAATCCTATGTATTGGTTTTAGTAATTTACTAGATTCCATGTATCCTAGCATACAAAATTGCATCGTATGCTAAAGACGTAATATACTTTTTTTAGATTTGACTTTGACGAAGCCGCATTCAGTCCACCATCTTACGACGATAGTTTCTTTTACATAAGATATCCAAGATCGCAAAATACTCAACCACAACACGGATTAAAGCACATTGTAACTGAGGTTTTAAACGAAAATATCGCGAGCTCTACGAATCAGATAACAAATGAAAAATCCATTCCTGATTTGAAAGAAGTCAAACAGATTGATTTTAGCAAACATCCGTTGCCATGTCAACCGTTTATACCGGTTGTAAATAATACAGGTATACCAATAATCTGTTAATAATTTTGTTTTTTTGAAATATATGAAACACTAATCAGCATATTTGCTGGATTCAGCAGAACGTTTATTTTACAACTATTGGAAGGTTTAGAAAAAATATAATCCAATCAGCGCGAAAAAACTTCTAATAATTGCAAATTTTGTTGCAACTATTATCATGATATATATTTTATATTCAATATAAAGATATATTATTATATATTATATTATTACATATATTATTATATATATATATATATTATATTATTTTAGCTGGTGATATTAGAGTACATAAAGCTTCAGCGAGTGGAAATATAAAACCTAAATCGCAGGGGACGGATGACGGTTTTCATGGTGAACCGGCTCTTTGTGGCAAATCAATTGTTCATGTAGCTAGTCAAATGATGTCTGGTAAATTTACCAAAGTATTCACATCGGATTCGCGTTCTCAGCAGATGGAGAATTCTGTGAAAAGTGTCAGCAAATCGTTACCAGCGACACCACTAACGTCACCAACAGGATCTCCAGATAGTTCGCCGAAAGCACGCAGAAAGATGCATAATCGATACTTCACTGGTGCATTTGTACCAGATAAAGAAAAATATCAGGGTAATTGGATCTTGGCAAGCATATTGGGCCAATCCAGAGAAGTCATTACAGCAAAGATAGACGAGGAGGACGAGCTCTTTCCAGACATGGAGCCACGCAAGCCACTTAATCGCAAAAAATCGATATCGTCTCAAAATCTTACATATATAGGGAAAGAAGAAAAATCGACAGATAAGTCATCTGTTTACGTAAATGTGCTCGAAGCTAAACCATCTGAACTAAGAGAGATGAATTTTTGGTCTCCGACTTCCATGTGAAGTTTTACATTTTGTTTAATTCTAGCTATATATAGTTTTTAATCGTGCTTCTACCAAAGCATATTTAGATGAATTTAGTTTAATTCCAAATTATTAATGCACATAGCTGTAAATTTAGCTTATAATACTAACTTGACAACATTTCATATGAGATTGATATATTATTATATATTTTAAATTGATTTCTATGAGTTTGTAATCATTCGAAAATGACAGAGAGCACTATTTGACTTAAAACACTACAGAATTGTGTTATAATTGTATTTAAAAGGTGTTATATCTTCTTTATTTCCTTCCATTATTAAACATGAAAGAGAAAAAATATGTAAAAACGAATAATTTTCTCTATATTCATATTAATAAGTATTACATTCGCGTACTTGTGTTATCTATGCTTATACTCTTAAAACTGCTTTGAGGATTGAAAAATGCAATACGGTCTGTTAATTAATTGTCTCATCGATTCACGAATATGACACATTGTAATTATCTATTCTCCGTGCGTTATATATAAATTGTGGCGTAACTAAAATGCATCAATGTATTAAATCTTGCAAAGTCAAGAGATGCATTTAAATGAAGTTCAATGCTCTGTATTGTAAAATGTGATACAATGACCTTGAAACTAGGAATATTATAAAATCTATGTTATATCGTACAATTATTATAAATTCCACTACTACAAATTTGCACGAAGAACACTGTTGGTTAAAGATTTTTATCAAGCACAGATGAGTTATATACAAATATATACAGCCTATTAAACTAAATTTATGCCAATAAAAATATGAAAACATTTTAGACACATTTTCATTATTTCAATAAATACTTGTGCATGGACTGAATGTGATTAAACTATATTATTGGACAATATTTAGATATTCAAATTAGTTCAATTTGCTCTTCATCTTTTTCTAATTCTAAAAATTAGAAAAAGATTAATAGTAAGTTAAACCGAGATTAAAGTTAATCTGCATTGGTGGAAATGGGCATAAACGTTTTATCGATGATTGTCGCTATCGTTAACTAGCGATAGCCAATGGCAGGACAATCCTGAAAGAAAGCGCGGCTCTCAACGCGAAAAAACGTTTAGAGAAAATCCCGCTGCTGAATGCGGACCGAAAACTCGAAAGTTCGTTCAAACGGGACCAAAGTCACCAAGGATAGGTCACCTAGAGCTTCAGATTCCCACCCGAGTGCCACTCAGGTATCCTTCTATCCTTATTGTTTGCCAAATGTTAAACAAGGATGACATGACACCCAGGGAGCACTCGGGTGGGAATCTGAACACGCCGTAGGGTAGATTAAGTTAGGTTAGTACCAGATGCCCGCTGTAGTCGTATTGTGTAATTACCGTTCGTAATTACGTTGATAATATTTTAATATCTCCTTCTCTCTGTGAAATGCTTCACGATCCCGCGGACGAAACACACAGAAAACCACGTCAACTTAGGAACACGCCGCTACAGAAATATATTCGCCTTGCGTCACTCGCCATAACCCTTTGTTACGCTGGAGCAATGTACGTTGCCTGGAGAAAAAAGTAGGTGTTCGCGTAAATTTTACAAATAAATATCTATCTACAATTTACGTTATTTAGTCTCACATTTAATTCTAATCGATTTCAGTGTAATATTTACAATGCTTAAATTTAATTTTAAACTTTATTTCATAGTATTGTTCCATTGTTAAATGATGAAGATAAAATCAGAGAAATCTTAGAAGAAGAGGAGGTTAACTTACAAGATTTCATCACAATTCCAATTTTTCGTGATACTATTCAAAGGCTGACTGCGATACAGCGAACTAAATTAAATCCAGAAACTGAATCAGAGAATACACAAGCTGAAGCTAAATAAAATTTAAACAACAGAGCATCCAGAGTTTATATAACACAATAATGGACGTTGAAAAGAATGAATTTTGTAAGCCTAGTAGTTTAAAAGAAAGATTGAGATTAAGGAAAAGTGATAAGGAAAGGTATATATTATAAAATATGTCAAATATATTAAACTAAACTTTTTGTAGTCTCATTTAACATAACATGTATCTTTCTAATAACATAATGACAAAAATATATTCTAATTTTAAAATGTATCACATGTATTTATTATATTCTTTTCTCCTAAATCAAATGAATTTAAATTTTGCAAAGATATTTATACTTTGTATTAATAAAATCTATTTGAATGAGATATCTAAACTAACATAAAAATGTTCTTTTGTATAGTATGGATAACAAGAGTCATCCTTCTAATAATTTCAATAATGAATCCAACACGGATGACCCTGCTTTTACATCCCAAATTCCATTTGATGACAGTATATTAGATTTTAAATCGCCAAAGAAAATACATTCCACGCAATCAAAAGTTATTAACAGCAATAGATATCCGGATAAAGCTACGAAGAAAGTACTCCATTCTAAACCTAAAATTATCAATGAAAAGAAATCTAAAAGTGGAAAACTATTACAGAATAAAAAGATTCATCGTGATGTACAACAACCATTAATCGAATCGTCTTTTTTTAAATCTGAAAAGAAAGAAACTGAATCACCACAAAATTCAACTGCTGTAAAAACTGCTTTTGTATGTCCATTGTGTTTAAAAAATTTTAAAGATGAAAATTCACAAGCTGTGCATATGAAGAGTTGTGCTACAAAAAATAACGTGTCTACAAAAAAATTAATAGATGCTGTGGAATTACAAGAACGGCAAGCCGCAGAAAGAAAGTCGTTAGGGCTACTCTCTGCTCCTATATTACAAGACAAGAAGAAATCTGTTCCTCGTAAAATAGTAGGTATTCAATTGTTTAGGTATCTACAAGATGATTTTTAAATTGCCAAATTATTGGAACTTTATTGGAATTTAATTGAGATATAAAAACGATAATAAATGTGAAATTAATTAGTGAGCATAATTGAAAGCTGAAAATAACTGCATTTATCCTCAGCTCTCAATTGTCCACTAATTAATTTCACATTTATTATTATTGTTTTTAAATCTCAAGAGCTCAATTTATTTTGTATTATTAATTGAGATAGTCTTCTTAGAATTTAATTATAAATTGTTAACAAGACACAAATATCTTTAAACTAACCGTTTAAAAAAATTTTTTCAGGCATCGCATGATGACCCTGATCTTCAGCTTGCTTTAGCTCTTTCCAAATCTCTGTATGAAAAAGAAGAAATAGACGAATGGGATGAAGTTCAGATTGTAGCAATATCCTCTAATTCATTAGTGTCAGATAATAATGCAGATTGTTCTCAGAAAGCAACATTGCAAGATTTTGGGTTTAGTAGCAGTAAAAATGTGTTACCAACAAACAATTTGATCAACAGTAATAAAACTAGGAAAAGTAATTATATGTTACATTACTTACAAAGTGCAATTGATAAACTTGTAGCTAATAAGAAATGTATATTTTACTTTATGATGGCTTGTTTTTCTTTCTTTTATCTAAAAAGGAAAGCCTATTGAACCAACTATTTTGCAAAGACGCACAGCTGTAGAAAGAGAACGTATTTTAACAGAGAGAATAGCTGAAATACTTATGGGTTACAAAGATTTTACTCAAAGATCCCAGGAAAAAGTAGAAGAGTTTAATGACACTAAGGAGAGAATTGATATAAAGAGTCAATTACTTCAACAATTACGTGAAATTGTAATATGTTTTTTTTTGATAAATATTAAGAAAAGAGGAGCTACTTCCGATGACCTTGACTTTGACATATGTTGTGAAAGTCGTGATCTTGAGTGACCTCCACCAGGTTTTAAATGGCAGTCGCTGTCCATTAAAAAGTTATAATATATACTTTAAAGCAGGAAATTTCTATTTTATCATACATATCAAAAAGACATAATTTTTCAAACTTTTTTGTTCATAACTTTTTAACGGATAGCGACTGCCACTTAAAACCTGATGGAGGTCACTCAGGGTCACGACCTTGACAACATATGTCAAGGTCATTAGAGAGGTGACTCCCCTTTTCTTAATATTTACCTATTTTTTTATATAATAAAAATTACTTTTCAATTTAAATATCAACAAATTTTTAAATATTATAATAACATATATTATTATTTTCAAGGAGAATACATTGTGGGAAAGGACAAAACTAATTCTAACTAAAGATGTATTTTATGTAAAACAACTATTGCCTCAAATAACTCCCTTAGAAAAGAAAGAGCAGAAATCAAATGTAAATTATTATTTGTTGGCACATAAACTATATTTATTATAAATAAATAAGTTATATTTAAGAATATATATGTAATAATATATTTGAAGTATACAATAATAGCGCTTTTATATTGTGCTTTTTAGGGCACAGAAGAGCAGAATGTTACAAAGCTAATGGAATTAAACTTCAGCAATGAAAGATCTTTAAATAATGAACAAATGCAAGAAGTAAAGGAAGAACAGGACATTATAAAAACAATGGATGATAACAAAGCTTTAACGATCTCTTCAAATACTGTTAATATGTGTTGCGAAGAAAAGCAATTCCTTAATAATTTAGCTACAAGTTGGAGAAATATACTAAATGATAGTTCTGCAAGTGACATTATTGTGTTTGTCAGAAATAGCAGACACATATGGACACATAAATTGGTTTTTTACACACGTTGTCCAGATATTTTATTGGATGTAATTTCTAATGATACAGAATTCACTACTGCAAAAGAAAAAATTTGTTGGCTTGATACAGACTATGATGTCGCCATAGCCTTTTTAGAATTTGTTTATTGTGGTGTAATCGATAAGTATTCCAAAATACTTGATTCTCAGATAACTTTATCTGATATTAGAGCTTTAGGAAGAAAATACAAAATAAATGATTTATTTGTTTATTTGCGTCAAAAGAAATCTGAATCTGTAGCAGAAGTTAAACATGACTGTAATACTCATGAAAACAGTATAGAAAATGTACATCTAAATACAGAAACAATTTCCAATATTTCGAAATTAGATAAATCTTTCAATAAATCACCAAATTATACGCATGATGTGAAAAATATTCCTTGCTCTCAGAAAACGCTATTACAAGGGGATGTTAATGATGATTTACACCTTGAAAATAATTACGCATCCGCAAAGAAGTTATGCGTTTTGCAAGACGAAAAAAATACTTTAATGAAATTATCAGAAGAAATTAATTCCAGAAGCAACATACCTGCAAAACGAGACAGTACATCTCCTGATATGTTTGATGAGACGTTTGTAATGAAGCACAATGATAAATCTACAGTACATCCTAAAGACTTGGAAGATTCTAATATTCATATATTACTAAATTTGCTCAAACAAGATGCAGATGTTGATATCTGTAGTCAACACTTATCAAAACCTCAGAACGCAGAACATTTGGAGTTAGATAAAAGTACAACTATCTGTTCAAAAAATTTGGAACAAAGTGTAATAGAAATTGATCCAGATCTCGAATCAAATTCTTTGAAATTTCCTATTGATAATATGCATAAAAATTGTTTAATTGATACTTCTCAAAATAGTAAATCAAGATGTAGCCAAGATCACCTTTCGAAGGTAATAAAACAAAAAAGTAATCTTACATTATTTATTGAAGAAGTCCAGAAGGAAAACGCAGAATTGGATGCCTTGTTAAATGCTACAGAGATGGAATGTTCTGTACAAATATCTCCTATAAAGCATAAGAATCCATTTCGTATAGACAAACACGATAACTCCGATCTTCAATCTCACAATAATTATATTGAACAATCAGGTAATACAGAGAAAAAACCCGGTAGATTGTCTACAATAGAGCAATGTATGCAATCGTATGCTGCCAAAAATCCAGAATTTTATTCCTATCTTTCTAATGAAGATGTACAAGATGTTAAACAAATTAATAATTTGCATATAAATTCTCTATTATCCAAAAAGATAACAGAATCTTTCCATAATATATCGAATTGTATACAAAACGTTACTTTGTCAAATGAGAAAATCATTGCAGAACAAGTAACAAATGTATCAGCGATATGTTCACAACATACTGAAACAACGAATCGATCACTCAGTGAAACCATCTTTGATTTAGAAACAAATGAGGAAGAAATTTCTATGTATTCTAAATATATGAAAGATCACAAGGATAATAGCATAGCAAAATATAGAAAAGCAGTCAATAGAAATAAATCAGATAGTAATCTGTCTAATGAAAGTATAGTATCCGATTTGTTCAATGAAGACAGTAATACCAGTGAGGCTGAAAAAGATGAAATTTTTACCCAGTCTGTTTTGACACAAAAAGATACGGATGTAATTGTTTCATTAGATACAGATGTTGAAAGTATATCTTCCAGTACTAGCCACACTGTCTTAGAGAACAATGACTCCAATCATGGAAATATTATGTCTCATGCTCTGCAACAATCTAGAAAAGAAATAGAAAGTAACAATCAGGATATAACAAATGAAAATAACAGTCAATCCTTCGAAATTAACAAATTTTCAAAAGCAGTAACGACATATTCGCAAGAAGGAAAAGATATTAATAGCGTAAAACCAAATCAAGATAAATTAAATACTACAGAGACAATATCTACGACACAAAAATATAAATTAAATGAATTAAACGATGCTCAGGAAAAGGAGTCTAATCCAAGTCTAATGATGGTATCCTCTAGTCTAGATTTTTTAAATAATGAAGGCTGCAGTCCAGTTTCAAATATCAAAAGTTTGCTTCAAGGTAAACTCTGTACCGAAAGTGTATCAGGATTAGATTGTGAATTAAGAAAGCCAGCCAATTTTTCTCTTGATTTTGAAGACGATATATATCTTGCAAATGTTGATATCGATAAATATGAAAAACAACATGTTTTGGAGAAGAGTCGCTCATTTAACATATCAAGTACGAGAGAATTTAATAATAGTAGTGTACGCGCGCGCAGAAGCAATAATAAAAATAATCATGAAAGTATTAAAGGAAAAGATATAGGAGCAAATGATTATGGAAACTCGGGTACTAATGTTACATCTTTGACTCAAAATTCTACAAGTGTTAAGAAATTTAAAAGAAAATCTTTTTCCGAAGGACAAATTGACACAAATAGATTACGTAATCAAGGTATAATATCTACGGATATATCTGCACAATTACAGTGTAATTACATTCAGAACATTGGAAACGCAGAAATGCCTAAAATAATTGATAAAGATGTTACACCTCCGCCTGTTTACAACGATATGGGCACTCCTGAATTACACGTAAGTTAATTGAAAATGAGAAGTCTTTATAATTAAAAATATTTTCTTTTCTCATGAGCGAATTGTTAATTTTTAGAAAGAAATGAAGAAATACGGATTAAAGATTCAAAAACGTAGCAGAGCTGTAAAATTATTAACGCATATTTATAACGAACTTCATCCTTTAGTTCCTAAGAGAACGGTAGAACAGCAGATTACTGAAATTTCGAGCGATGAAGACCAGGAACCTCCATTAAAGAAACGAAACGTGGATGATAATAGTTTGGAAAAGTCAAGCGATTCAGAAGACAGTGAAAACGAATTTCCTTGTTCTCAAGATAGGTAAATCTAAATGTAAATATTAATTAATCTTTTTAACATAATATTACATTTTATATAGATATAGTATAATAAAAAAGTAATATATCTGTTACAGTAATGATAGTGTAAGTTCTACAAAAGAAATACTCAACAAAGAAATGGAATTTTATGAAACTGAGTCAGCACTGGAGAATTCATCAAATATCACAGAAGCTTTTATGAAATTAATCAGTATTGATAAAGATTTACATAATAAAATATTACAATATGAACCAGTGAATATTAATCATTTGCGTTGTATGTTGCAAACACATGGATTTAAATGCAAGTTGCCTAATCTCATGAGTTTTCTAGATCAACAGGTATGTTTTCTTCGTTTTAACTTATATATATGGGGCATTCCATTTCAAGTGTGCCAGCAGTGAACTTTTGATTTGGCTGAAATGTTATAGTATCTATCGAAAGAAGCTACCATGATTTTTTCAAAATTTTTTATCAATGTAGTCATCAGATATGAATTTTTTTCAAAAATTGCAGTTCTAATTTTCAAATCCCTATAATTTTGCGAAAAATAATCTAAATGAAACGATTTTTTCTAATTGTTTTTTTTTCTCTATTTAAAAAAAAATATCAAAAAAGTTTCAAAAAACTTTTTTGTTTTCTTTTTAGTTTAAAGTAAAAAATCGTCAATTTTTAAAAGTATGACACATTTAATTTTCTTCAAAAAATTGTCATAAAAACTTTGATTAATTCGATAATTTTTAAGATTGGTTTGAGAGAAACCATGGGGAAATTTTTCTATTTTTTTTAATTAAAAAAAAATTTTTTTTCAATTTTTTGTATTTTTTACTTGATAAAATAATATGAAATCATGATTTTGTCATGACCTACAATTTTTTTTACAGTTTATTCTCAATTATATATATATATAACTATATATCGAAAAATATATAAATATAAATTTTGTTTTAGTGTATTACATTTTATGCACCAGAACAAAGAGCCAAGAGGATTCGCAGAAAAGCATAGTTTATTGATATCTATAATTTCCTTATAATTCACAAATTTGTATTTAAAACATTTGTAATTAATAAATATTAATATAAAGTATATTTGAGATAGAAAATCATTTATATTTTATATGGTGTAATGCGTAATTTTGTGTGTGTAACATAATCAATTTATTTTTTGTGTGTAACATAATCAATTTATTTAATATCGCATATATTATATTATAATATTTTTATTAATGTAATATGAACTAAAAAATATAATTTATATATATTATAAAAATTTAAATGTACATGGAATTTATTAAATCTTATTTAAAATCCTATTAAAATTTATAATATTTCTTTTTTTAAACTCTTCTGAAGAGTTTTCAAATATGACTCTCTAGAAGAGTGGGAAAAATTAAAGTTGTATACCCCAAATGTGTATGAAATTACAAGAAAATTCCTGTTAGTTTTAGGAACTTCGGTCTCATATGAAAGATTATACAGCACCGCGGGGAACATTATTTCCGAAAAAAGGAGTAGGTTTTCCAGCAATCGAGTTTCAAATGCTGATTTTTCTCAACTCTTTAAAGACTGAATATTGAGAACTGTAGAGGTTCACAAATAAACTTTATTTCAATATTCAGTCTTTAAATTGCTTTACATTTAAATTATTAAACAAACCTTACTTACAATAATATACGTAATACGATCACCGCGAAAGTTTACATTAATAATAATATTAATGTAAACTTTTGTAAGTAAGGTTTGTTTAATAATTTAAATGTAAAGCAATTTAAATGTGATCACCGCAAGTATAAAAAGGGTAACAATATTTATGAAAAGATTTTAAGATTCTATTTAAGTTCTAAATAATACGCTTAAAAAACATTGACTGCGTTGACTGTGATTCAATCCACATTAACAACAGTCAATCAAAAGCATGAGAGTAATTATTATTGACGCTTCTGATTGACTGTTGCGAAACATTGCAACTGGCGATGATGAGTTTGCAACCAAAGAGTACATACAATATAAAATTAAGAATCCTTGTAGTACATACTTTTGTTAATCATTTCATTTAAACCTCATTTATAAATTCCAAAAAAACGATTGAAAATTTAAACCTAAAAAAAATGATTTCCCCTCCCTTTTCTTCTCTCCCTCTCGCTTTTCACTCCTTCCCCCTCCCCCCTCTCTCGCTAAGAAATTACCCTTAGGACTATTTAACCCAGGTTTCCCATCATCTTATCCTTGTTGTTCATTCAATGTTAAAGACGATACACGGGGATGGTTGCTAGGAAAAAGAATCGATCCCTTTTTTTTATACACGATTAAGAATCAAACCTAAAGGAATTGATCGATTCTTAAATTTGATGTTTTTTTTTTAAATCGGCATCACTACCTATTATTGCGATGTGACGACGCCGTACGGTTGTAGACGTAAGAACTAGTACTGCAGACCTCAATAGCCTAGTTCCAGTCCGGAGTGACTGCTTGGCCAGTAACCAAGAAGAAGAAGAAGTAGGCGCCCGGTGTCCGTTCGAGCAACGCCATTTTCGCGGGCATTGCATCACCTGCTACTGTACCACGTGTACCTACTTAAGACAAAGAAGAAATCCATCTTAGACGTGATCTTGCGTGATCCGGCCGTATTGCCTCCGTATACTTTAGAGGGAGACAGGAACCATTCAACTAAGAAGATTGAAGAGGTTTTCCCGGCTTGCTATTTGCAGAACGTTATTTCGGAAAGTTTGTAATACGTTGCATTTTGTGTTGCATTTGTATCGAATAAGGTATTTATCGTCAAGAGAACAAGTTTTTATTTTGTAAGGTATATGATAAATTTAAAATATTATAATTTATAGACTTATTGTGCATACTTAATGTATAATCACATATTGCAGTTAATTACGATATTTTATAATTAAGTCTACTTTTTATATATTACATATGGTTACTGATAGCATAAAATATAATACTATAAAATTATAATTCAATAATATATTTTTTGAAGGCTGTCTCCAGTGATATACCTCTATCAAATAACTATCAATATGTCAGAGAAAATGTTACCAGGTAAGTCGCATCAGACTGCTGTAATAATAGTGGCTGCATTCCTTTGTATATTTAACATAAAGTATCATTTTATTTTTATTTAACATTCTATGAATAATAAGGATAAAATGATATCTCCTGAATATTATACTTGCAATAGAATACAGTCAGTGATAACTGTAGCAAGATATGATAAGAATTTGATTGATAATATAAAGCTATATACAGCTAATATTTTATGTATAATAATATTAATGGTAAAATTAAATATCCAATAAATATTTTACAAGATATCTATACATCCGACAAATATGGTAATGACGAGACAGGAGATGGTTCAGAGGCTGAACCCTTTAAAACTATTTTAAGAGCAATGCGTCATGCCAATAAGGAACCTTTTCCAATCATCTACCAGGACTCTCGTGAAGGTGATAAAAAATATGAACCAGCATCTAAGTCTCAGTTAAAGAAAATACAAAAGATTTGGATTCGAGAGCAGTATAAGAAAGACGAGAAGGAGAAGAAATTATTGGAAGATGAAGAAAAAAGATTGAAAAATTTTGAAGAGGCTAAATCGATCGTTATAGAAGAAGACAAAACTCTGCCAGAAGCAAAAACAATTAAGATAAGACAAGCTCTTGATTACAGGGATCAAAGAGTCAAGATATATGGATGGGTACATAGACTAAGACGGCAAGGTATACAATATAATTGAACTTATTTCTATCATGATGCTTTATTGATTTTTACTATAGGCAAAGCCCTTATGTTCATCACGTTGCGAGATGGAACAGATTTTCTACAGTGTGTACTGACTGATAAGCTTTGTCAAACATACAATGCCTTGCTCCTCGCCACGGAAGCTGCTGTTCAACTATTTGGAATCTTGAAAGCTGTTCCTGAAGGGAAAAATGTACATTTGACATTTAATTAGTAAATAATATAAATTATTCATATATTATATATTTGGATGATATATTTGTACATTATTATTAAATTTTAGGCACCTGGTGGACACGAATTATGTGTTGATTATTGGGAACTTATCGGATCATCACCTCCTGGTGGTGCAGATTCAATTTTGAATGAAGAAGCTCTTCCTGACGTACAATTGGACAACAGGCATATAATGATTCGAGGCGAAAATGTATAGTAGAATTTTAATGTTATAAAGAGCTTTTAATATAATCTTTATTAAATTAAAATAAATATTCTGCAATTACATCTTTGATATATTACGAATTTTTTTCAGACATCAAGAATCTTAATGATGAGATCTATATTAATGCAAGCAGTCAGAGATCATTACAAGGATCGTGGTTATTACGAGGTAACTCCTCCAACTTTAGTGCAAACTCAAGTAGAAGGTGGTTCAACTCTCTTCAAATTAGATTATTTTGGGTATGCATAAATAAACTGAATTATTAACCATACAATACATGAGTCAACTGAATGTTGTTTTCAGGGAAACAGCTTTTCTTACTCAGAGTTCTCAATTGTATCTTGAAACATGCATTCCAGCGATGGGAGATGTATATTGCATTGCCCAATCGTATCGGGCAGAGCAATCAAGAACACGTCGCCACCTTGCCGAGTTTGTATACAAATGTTTCTTTGTATAAAAGAGATTGAAATATACGCCTATTCTTTTTTGTAACCTTTTTTTTATATATTGAATTAATTTTTAGATATACGCATCTCGAGGCAGAATGTCCATTTATTACATTTGATGATCTACTTGACCGATTAGAAGATTTAATTTGCGACGTAGTTGAGCGAGTTTTGAAATCGCCTCTCGGTTATCTTGTCAAAGAATTGAACCCTAATTTTCAAGTGCCTAAGAAGCCTTTCAAACGAATGAATTACAGTGATGCAATTGAATATCTAAGAAAAAATAATATCACAAAAGAAGATGGCAGTTTTTATGAATTTGGAGAAGTATGAATTACAGTCTCGTAGATTATCTTTCTAGGTAAAATATATAGCTGTTATTGTATTTTATAGGACATTCCAGAAATGCCAGAAAGGAAAATGACTGACGCTATTAATGAGCCAATAATGCTTTGTCGTTTTCCCGCTGAAATTAAATCGTTTTACATGCAACGTTGCATGGACGATAAACGCTTAACAGAGTCTGTTGATGTACTTTTACCAAACGTAGGTGAAATTGTAGGTGGTTCAATGCGTATCTGGGATTACAAGGAGTTGATGGAGGGTTACAAACGTGAAAACATTGATCCTACTTCATACTACTGGTATACAGACCAGGTAAATATGAAGAAAATAAATTTAAACTATATTTCGAATAACGTAATAATAAATCAATTTATAGCGGAAATATGGATCTTGTCCTCATGGCGGTTACGGATTGGGATTAGAACGATTTTTGTGCTGGCTGTTGAACAGGCATCACATACGCGAGGTGTGCTTATATCCGCGTTTCCTGGAGCGTTGTCGTCCGTAAAAAAATATCGATATATATAAGAGTATTAATATTATATCGATATGCACATTACAATGGAGATACGTTCTGCTTTTTCCTATTACAATATAATAATAAAACTGTAGCATGTGTTATATTCAAAAATATTTTATGAATAATATCAATTATAACGAAAAAAACTTATGGAGAACCACTTAAATAAAAGGATTATGTATAATCAAAATGTATTCTGATTATATCCATTATTCTTCATCTTCATACAAAATATCATGTATTATTGTAACCTTAACAATAATACAATATTTGTATAACGAATAAATATATATATAATTGTCAAAAGCAGGATGTTTCTGATACTTATAATTTGCATATTTATTGTATAATCGAGTACACAATGCCATCGACTGTGTATACAGCGGTTCAAATAAAAATCACATAAAACATTACATATAATCATATGTATATGCATTGTATAAATACTGGCTTCGTTTTTATATAGAAAGTTTCATAATATTCCATGACAGAAAGTTGCT